GAGAGTCTGGCAAGCTCCTGGCCAGATAGGTGTGTTCTAGGGCTCTAGCAGGTAATGTACTCACAGGCCTCAGCACCAGATCTACCCCACTCCCCATTTAGATCCACACTAAGTGTACCATGACTGCCTTTCTACTTAGCACTCTTCTCTAATGACTGCAGGCCCCATCTAAGGAAGGAAGATGAGTCAGAAGTCAGAATGACTACGTAGGGACCTCAAGAAGCAGAAGAGCCTACAGGGCCTCTTGACACCTGAAGACTGACTTCTGACCATGGTCGCCAGGAGGAGGTAGTTATCCCAGGGCACCTGTCTGCTGCTCCTCAATCACCTGGAATAGGACGGGGGTTTTCTACAGTTTTAGCAAAAAGAGAACCTTTTGAAACCAACAGCAAGCCTTTTTCCAGTGAACAACTGAGAGGCTGCGGAAGGCATGGGGAGAAATGGTACATTCAGACCAGGCTGCAAGACCAGCCCAGACTCTCGGGGGAAGAGAAACATCTTAACCCACGCAGGAGGGTATCAACATGCTCAAAATCTTCGCTACCATGTTTTCAATTAATTACTTCCCCCAGAGTGAGGGAACTCAAAGTTCCCAGATGACCCACACTCTCAAAAGACTCACACTGAAGCTGCTTGTGAAGCTGAGTACTACCGCTCCTAAAAAGCACATACGGTTTGCAGAACACGTCTTTTGGAATGGCCTGGCTAGGTCACATACATTAATCCTTTCAACTACTTAAGAAAGCCAGCTTCCACTGAGGCCCAGGACAAAAATTGCCTTGGGCAGAGCAAGGGAAAGACATGATGATCCCTAACCCTGTGAAGCTTCTCTCTCCGTCTCCGTTCTCCTTCCTGTTCCCTCTAACAGAGCAAAGCTCTTCACAGCACTATTTCCTAACTTCATGGAAGATCAAGAATGAATGCAACATAAAGGTGTTCCTTGAGCTGCTCACTCTCCTGTCCAGACCGCACATGCGTACGAATCATGGCATCTACTCTCGCAGACAAGTTCTCTTCCACTCTCCTCTTGGTGGAACCCTTTCTTGATGCAGCTCATGAGGAGAGATCAACAGCCTAGAAGCAAAGCGACCAATGTACCACCGTCCCACAGAACGACACCTCAAGTGGTAACTTTTCCACCATCCACACCTAACCCCATTCTCTTCTGCCTCCTGGTTTACTAGAAGGCCAAATTCCGTTAAACATTCTTAAAACAGACAAGGGATATTCTCCCATATTCGGCCTCTAAGGCGTCAAAGAATAACAAAAGATCTTTCGGGGCAACCCAGGATGTTCTCTGACAACACAAGCTTGCGTGAACGCGCGCGAATGAGCGCGCGCGGGTCCTCTCTCTCTCTCTCTCTCTCTCTCCTCTCTCTCTCTCTCTCTCTCTCTTCCTCTCTCTCTCTCTCCCTCCGTCCCTCCCCCTCCCTCTCTCCTTCCCTCCCTCCCCATCTCTCCCTCTTTCTCTTTCTCCTGTCTTGCCCTCACGCCCCCTCTCTCTGCCATGAAGACGCCAGCCCTGAAGGCCCGGAAAGCGAGTCCTGAAGTGTGCTGGCAGCCCGGGACAGCTCCGGGTGCGGACAGCTCCCAGCGAGGCCCCGGCGGGGTTCGCCCGCGCCCTCCCCGGCAGGCTTCCCCGCTCACCCTCACCTCGCATTCTGGAGCCGCCGCTGCCACCTCCGCCACCGCCTCCAGTGGGGGAGTTGGGCCCCGCTGACTGTTTGCGCCATCCTCGCCAGTTCTGGCAAAGGCTCTCGGCCTCGGAGATGAACGAACAGAGCGAGTCCTCCTCAAAGCGGTCGGAATCCTCGAACGAGAAGCGCTCGCCGTCCTCCCACTCCGCGAACATCAGCTCCATGGGGCCCGCACCCCCCGGGGCCGGGTCTCCCCCCGCGGATCCGCGGCCTGGGCCGCCGGCCGGGGACTGAGGGGAGGCCCGGGGCCTGAGGGGCGAGCCGGGGCCGGGGGTGGCCGGGGCGCTCAGGGCGGCCGTGCCGGGCGAGGCTCTCGGGCCTGGGAGGGACAGCGGGCCAGGCCTCCCCCAGCAGCGAGGCGCGAGCGGGGACCGCGGCCAGTCTGCGAGACTCGAGGCCCGGACGAAGCGCTGGGCGGCCAGGGCCTCTAGGCGGCTGCGGCGCCGCCTCCCCCATCAGCTGATCCGAACTTCCGGCCGCGCCGGCCATCACCACTTCCGCCCTCGCGTGCTCCGAGACTGGACCGCGTACGGGCGGGTGTAGGGGACACGTGTGTGCGTCGCCGGCTGTGTTCTCGAGCCCACTCCCACGCACAGCTCCCAAAGGAACACGAAACAGCTACAGACTCCAGCAACTCCTTGGTGCCCGAGAAGTCCCCAAGGAAGAGGAGGCCGCCGTTCAGGTCGAGAATCGCATGCTGTCGGGGACACTGCAAGTGACCACTGGACGGGGTATTGTCACGCCTCGGGATAGGCCTGGCGCCGCATTGCCTTCTGGGAGTTGCAGTCCAGAACCTGGAAGCCAGCCACTTTGTAGCGTCTAAGGGAGCGCCACGGGAGGAAGCTCGGCCTTCTCCTCGGTGCTGTGTTTGAACCTAAGGGTTTTAATCTGCGTGTGTGCGCGCCTGCGTGCGCGATGTAGACCATTTACCACTCTAGAGAAGTTCACGGATGTCCTCCACCTCGCCTGGTTGTTTATGAATTACACGTTCATTAGGTTTAAGTACAATTACTGAGACTTTAATAAAATAAACTTGTGATGTTCATTTGTACAGTAAACGCCAAAACCGGGCAGGATATTTAATTAATTGATAATGTTTACCTAGCATTTACAAAGGCCCTGGTTTCTATGCTCAGCCACCACCCACCACCAAAAATGATTTCCAATGGACACTACTGCTGCTGTGGATTGTTTCCCGTAACCCTGATTGAAGTGCTTAATTTCAGCTGCCCATTCCAGTTCACAGAATTCTTTATTTATATGTTTGTTTTGTTGTTTCCTTTGTTCGTTGGTTTTTCAAGACAGGGTTTCTCTGTGTAGTAACAATTCTGGCTATCCTGGAACTCTCCTTGTAGAACAGGTTGGCCTTATACTCACAGAGATGCACCTGTCTCTGGCTCCCAAATGCTAGGATCAAAGGAGTGCACCACCACCACCCAGCTCACAAAATTATTACACTACTGGGAATCTACTGGCCCTAGGTAAAGACTCCTTAATCTAAAATATTAGAAAACCGAATTTTGGCTGGGTGTTGGTGGCGCACGCCTTTAATTCCAGAACTTGGGAGGCAGAGGCAGGCAGATCTCTGTGAGTTCAAGGCTAGCCTGATCTACAGAGTGAGTACCAGGAGAGGCTCCAAAGCTAAACAGAGAAACCCTGTGTCAAAAAAAACAAAAAACCCGAATTTCTTCATATAACTAAAAGACCCAGCTCGCAGAACCAAGCAGTTGTAGTGGAATACACAATTATGGGAAAACGTAGTTATTGAGGGATACAGAGGAAAGATTCCTCTTTACCTTAGTAATTATCACACTAGACCAGGGAGAACTCTCATTTCTATACCACATTTAATGCTATCAACTAGAAGGAAAAAATTAACTTTAACTTGATTATGCCTGAAGAGGCAGAACATACATAAAATCCTACACAATTATTCCTACTATCAGGAGAAAGTTACTGCCTCCAGCAAACAGCAGACGCTGTAAGAAAAACAAAACAGTAATTTACAATGAAGTAAATTGCCTATTGAATCTTAGTTCTACCATGTGGGAGAATTAAGTGGAAAGACACTGGAATATTGGGACAGGTGATAGTCAGCTCTGCCTGACTATTTAGTAGAAGAAAATTGTTGTGTGATGGTTAGGGTATGAAAAGACTTTATCCTTCAATTTCATAGTCGGTAAATATCAAGTTTATAACATGGTACTGTTTATTTATACATTAAGCAAAACTGGAAAGAATAATTCATTGATGTCTGCATTTTTTAAAGCAACGTTTAAAAAAAGAGACAGGTTTTTATGGTCTTGCTCAGAAATCTGCCTGTCTGCCTCCTAAGTGCTGGGATAAAAGGCATGTACCACCATGCAAGTTCCTTACTGTGTATATGTCTGTAAGTGCATTTGAAGGCACCAGAACAAGGATATCCGGCCCTCTGGAGCCAGGTACAAGCAGTTGAGGTACCTAGCATGGTTACTGTGGAACTCAAAGCCAGTCCTCTGCAAAAGTAGCAGGGACCCTTAAGTGTTGAGCCATTTCTCTAGCCCCTAGATACTATTCTTTCTATTCTTTTTTTTTTTTTTTTTTTCGAGACAGGGTTTCTCTGTATTGTTTTGGAGGCTGTCCTGGAACTCGCTCTGTAGACCAGGCTGGCCTCGAACTCACAGAGATCTGCCTGCCTCTGCCTCCCGAGTGCTGGGATTAAAGGCGTGCGCCACCAACGCCCGGCCCTAGATACTATTCTTAATTATACAAATCAAAACATTATCTGCAGAGCCTCCATGTCATCAGTTTACTACCTTTCTTCAGCAACTATTCATGAAGCTCCAGATATGCAGGGAGTTCGCCACGCCTTACGTATCTAAAAGCAAAAGCACTAAATGGTGGAAAGGACTTGAAAGGCAACAACAGACATCCATAGTTGTTCAACAAGAGCATATTTGGGTCAGGCAATGGTAAAGTCTGCCATTGATCCCAGCACTCTGGAGGCAGAGGCAGACTGATCTGAGTTCAAGGTCACCCTGGTCTACAGAGTGAGTTCCAGGACAGCCAGAATTTTTTCACAGAGAAACCCTGTCTCGAAAAACAAAACAAAAAACAAAGAAAAAAACAACAAACAAAAAATCTTTTGAAAGAAGAATATCAGGGAGCAAAGAACTTCCAGCGTCTACAGGAGCGTATAGGGCTTGAGAAAGGGAGCCGTAGGGGCTAGCTCAGTGATTGCAAGCCTGTGTAAGGCCAAGGGGTTCATCTTCGGGATGGGGGTGGGGTGTGAGGAGGGAGTATCTCATGAGAAGAAATGGCCAATTTCTTTTTTAGAGGGTTTTATTTCAAGACAGCATCCAGAACATGATCCATTCACAAGAGCAAGTGTTTCGTCTCATTTTACCCCTCAAAAATGCATAGTAGTTCAAATGCAAACATCCCTAACACGCCTCTATATAGCGTTCAGAAATGACAGTTCATTGAAAATGTTTCTCCATTTTCAGCTGAGGTGAGATTTGTTGGGAAATCTCTGTAACAACTTGGTCATTTTGTGGGGAGGTAAACTCTCAGACTGTTCTAGAGTCTCCTGGATTGATCTCATCTTCCCAGCTTTCTGAAAACACAAGAGAAAGAAAAATCATAACAGTTCTTCAGTCTACCATGGCCTAGACCCATAATTTCTACAATACTCCAAACCCAAGAGACCCTGCTTCAAAGGATACAGTGGAAGAGGAATGGAGGAAAATTCCAGACCGTGGGCCACCACACACAGATGCGCCTGCATATTCGAACATGCATGCCCTTGCACAAACACACACAGCGTAAAGAACAAAACAAAAGGGTGGTTTAAGGGGAATGTAAAGATTTGGGACCTACAAATGGCTGTCATCATCCGAAGCCATTATTCTGGCTACCAAATTAGTTTAAGACCAACCATCGTCAAAACTTGGCTTTTCTCACTCTGGCGAGGGCGACATTAACGACAGGTCTTCCCATCACTGCGCAGTGCGAACCATTCATTCGTATTTCCCTTTCTCTTCCCAAGAAGGCACCCTAGGAGCCCCCGTCACCTGGGCCCTGGAAGAACACTCGAAGAAGTCCTGGATCTCTTTTCTGCACGCCTCGTCGCGGAACTCATTCTGCTTCCAGCAGGCCATCATCATCGACATCTCGGTGATACAGGTCGCCTCTGCAAGGGAAGGACTGCAGGATCTCAGTCCCGCCTCTCCCGCGCCGCCCCCGCCGGCCCCGCGCCCTCCGAGTGCTCACCGCCCTTCTCTCGGCGCCTGTTCCCGACGCGGTTGGCTAGGATAAGAGGCTTGTTGGGTTTCAGGACAGGCTTCCCCGGGTTCGCAAACCTCGCCAGGCGGGAGCGCAAGCTGGGCGTCGCCATTTTGCACAGCGTTCCCAGTAGGCTCCGCGGTGCGGTGCGTGACCCCGTTTGACCCTTACGCACTTGTTGTGCGGCCAACCGGACGCTGTGTGCGCTCTCTCCAGGTCTTGGCCGCGCCGCACTCCTCGGTGGGGCGCCATCCAGACCGTCCCTCTGCGGGCCCCGGGAGCTGGCTGCCACTCACTCGTGCGCGCGCGCGTGCGTGTCTGTGCGCGTCTGTGCGTGCTTATTTGTGTGCGTACGAGTGTCTGTCTCTGTGTGTGTGTGTGTGTGTGTCTGTCTGTCTGTGTGTGTTTGTCGTCTGTGTGTGGGTGCCATGTGAATGCTGCTTCCGTGGAGGCCAAGGGAAGGCGTCAGATTCCCTCAGGCTGTAGTTAAGGTTGCTGTGTTGGAAAAAATTTTTGTTTTTTTACAAACCCATAAGAATGGTTGATTTTTACAACTCTTAGAGCCGTTCTAAAAGTATAAGGAAAATTCGGCGTGTTTGTTTTACTAAGCTTAACTGCTGTGTAGATGCTGCTTATTCGTTTCGTTTGGAGTGAGGCACCGCACCGTAGGGTGAGGGTATAAGATTTATGTTTAACGTTGTATTAACACTTAACATTTACTTCCAGTTGTGGTTGATTTGTCAGACTTAGTGTTTGACTTTTAGCAGTTTACAAAACCAAGTTCCAAAAATGTGCCACAGATCCCCAAAATGAACTCTGCAAGCCAACAATCAGTAGTTTGTATGACGTCTGCTTTAGAGCAAGATCTACCTGCATGGGTACGTGCATAGTGAGATTTTGCCACGGTGTTTGGAGTGCTCTGTGGATAACCACATGAAAGGCTTTTCTTCTGAGGCATTCCCTGTCCTGCTCTGAAGCCAGTACCCATCACAGTCTGAATGTATTGTTCGTGACCTCATTACCCCAACATCTACTTTGAAATGCTAGCAGTTTGGAGAGGTAGCTCTATTGTTAAAAGTGCTTTTGGCAGGCGGGTGGTGGCGCACGCCTTAATCCCAGCACTCAAGTGGCAGAGGCAGTCGAATCTCTGTGGGTCCGAGGCTAGCCTGGTCTACACAGAGAATCCGTCTCCAAAAACCAAAACAAACAACAGCAACGAAAAAGTGTTTCCGGCTCTTACTGAGGACTCATGAGTTTGATTCCCAGCACCCACTTGAAAGGGCTCACATCCATCTGTACCCCAGCTCCAGGAAATACCCTCTCTGGCCTTCATGGGCAGCACCCAGATACACTTAAAAATATTTTTAAATGTCTTTTAAATACATTTAAACAGTGGGGGAGCCTTTGAGTATCCTGTTCACTGCTGATTCCCCAGTGTCTAAAATAGATGTTATGCCAAATGTGGTGTATGCATGAATCCAAGCACTTGGAAAGTTGATGCGGGAGGCAGATTATGAGTTTGAAGTCAGCCTACATTACATAATGAGTACCAGGCAAGCCAGGGCCACACAACATAACATGACCCTGCCTCAAAAGAAAAAAGAAAGAAGGAAGGAAAGAAAGACGGAAAGAAAAAATAAAGAATAAGACAATGGGCTGGAGAGGTGACTTCAGGTTAAGTGTACTGGCGAGTTCAATTCCCAGCAAGCACAGTTCTCATCTGTAATGAGATCTGGCGCCCTCTTCTGACCTGCAGGCAAATGTGCACGTAGAACATTGTATACATAATAAATAATTTAAAAAAAAAAGAATAAACAAAAAAGAGGGGCTGCAGAGACAGCTCAGCGGCTTAGAGCACCGGCTGTTCTTCCTAAGGTCCTGAGTTTAACTCCCGGTACCCACATGGTGGCTCACAACCATCTATAAAGAGATCTGGTGCCCTCTTCTGGCCTGGAGGCCTACATGCAGACAGAACACTGTATACATAGCAACTTTTTTTTAAATGAAAGGACAATGTTAAATGAATGTTTATCCTTTTTTGCCATCCCCCCACCCCCAAGAGAAAGCAAATGGAGGCCAGCAAAAACAGCTCAGCGGGTCAATAAAGGTGCTGGCACTAGGCCTGAAGATGTACTTCCATCCCTTGGACCACATGGAAGAAAGAAAACTGACTCTTGTAAATTGTCTTCCGACATACACATGTACAGGGTAGAACAAGGTACCACACACATAAACGAAATAAGCAAATGTAATAAAAAAATAACCAGATACAAGACACTATGTAAAAACAGTTTATTATATAAGATGAAACCTGAGATGATAAAAAAAATAGTAACACTTGCCATCAGCCTTAACCCATATTCTTGTAGCAAATAAAAGTCTCCTATCAGAAACTTCCACCTCTAGTACCCACCTGCAGCAAATACTTGGTGTTGTATATAACATAGTGAGCCCCAAACTGGAAAAAGATTTCCTTGTTTTCTCCATAGAAAGTAAAGCTTTTTCATTGGGAAGTACTATGTGGTTCCTCATAGTTCTTTCCCTTTGGGAAATGTAGCACCTGACATACCCTGGTCTTTCTGATTGCTTGATTATGACAGCGGTAAAGGAGAGTCTGGGAAGCACTGAACCAAGGCAAGCCTGTTGCCAGCAGCCACCATTTATGAGCAGTTGGCTCGCTTGTGCGGAAAAGTGCTACAGGGGCTCTGTGAGCTGCACTTACCTTCCTTGTTGCACACAGGGCATCTGAGTTCTAATCCAGACTTGCACTTGTATAATAGATATTTTGCTATAGGAATCAGTGTCTGTCATCTATCTATGGAGACAAGGTCTCTCTCTATAACTCTGGCTGTCCTGGAACACAGACATCCACATGCTTCTGCCTCCCAGAGTACTGGAATGCTGAAGCTACAAGTGTATACAACCATGCTCACCATCTACACTACAATTATTCTACAGTTTTTCCCCTCCTTTGAGACAAAATCTTGCTATTGTAGCCAGGCTTGTCTAGCACTCACAGAGCCACCTATCTCTGATGTACATTTTAAAACATCTCTCCCTCTTTTTCTCTGTAAGAGACCAAATAGGTCACATAATTTTCATGCTACTATAAAGGCATTTTTAACTAAATACAATAAAGGTCTGGGAATATGACTCAGAGACAGCCAGAGTACATGCTTAGCATGCACAGGGCCTTGGGATCCATCTCAGCAACACACACACACACACACACACACACACACACACACACACACACACACACAGAAAACTGCCAGAAATGTAATTCCAACCTATGTTAAAACTTTTGTTGGTCACATCCTCAAATGTCACTGTTTTAACCATGAAAGCCTGGTTGCTGAAGCATCTAACTGGTATGTATCTATCTGTATAGATATGGATTCAGATATATGTAGTTTACAATCAGATCTACTGATAAGCCATGAGACTTCTTTAGCAATAATGCACTAACCCAATAAACATAGCTCTAAGGTCCAAAGCATTCTTTCTTGCTACCCCAGAAAATGCCTGTCTCCTGCTCAGGCTACAGCAATAGACATTTGGTCTGCATCTCCAAATCTAAAGTTTTTTGTTGTGGACACATATGAGCATTTTGTCTGCATGTGTGTCTGAGCAGAATATCTGTACCTGATACCCACAGAGGCAGGAAGAAGGATTGAATCCCCCTGGAACTGGAGTGACAGACAGCTGTGAGCTGCTGTGTGGGTGCTGGGAATCAAACCTGGGTCCTCTGGAAGAGCAGCCAGTGCTCTTTAACAGTGGAGCCATCTCTCCAGCTCCGAACTTGAAGTTTTTATTTAGTTAGTCACTGATGCTAGCTTAAATCCCTTGCCTTCTTCAATCTCTTGGAATTGAAGGCCTCAGGCTGGCTTTATAAAAAGAAAAAAAACAAACAAAAATAAAAAAACAAAAAGAAAGAAATCTCAGTACTAGGGTTATAGCTATAACTCAGCTGAGTGCTTGCTTTCCTAGAACCACAGAACCATAGAACACAGAGACACAGCACCATAAGGTAATCTGGAAGAATGGGAGCAGTGGATTGAATGGATCTTTCCAGTCCTGTAACAGGGCAATGTACTGAACGGACATCAGTGTCATATTAACTACTTAATCTATTCATGAGAGGAGGAATTCCAAATATACCCTAAACGAGAAAACCAAGCAGTAAGAATGATGGAAACGTTTGCTGATCTTCCCAGTGTTTGTGGGAAACAGCCTAAAGCCAGAAAGAAAGAGCCACTTCAAATAAAAAATTCAGGCAGTGCAAATACTTCTTAAAGTAACTTGAGCTGGACATAGTGTTGTATACCTGTAGCCCCAGCTACTTAGAGGTTGAGGCAGGAATTTCACTTAGGCCCAGGAGCTGGCAGCTAGCTTGGGCCATGTAGTAAGATTATCTCAAAATGTGTATGGGGGGGGGCCGGGGAGATTGAAAAAAAAAAGGAATAACCCCAACCCCCGGTTTTATGTCCACCAGTGTTAACAGCTGATAAGAAAGCAAGCTGAGAACAGACAACTGAGAGGTACCAAGTAAAGACCTGTCAGGTCATGGCCTGGCCCACCCTGTCTGTCCACATTTGAAACGATGAAATGGCTACAGACAGGAGAAGCATGCATGAGTCAAATGGGGGCTCTGGCTTCTGCCCTTCCTTAAGAAGAGGGCTAGAGGTACTTGTCTAGCATTCTCGAAACCTCAGGTTCTATCCCCAGTACAGGGCAGGAGAATCAGTGACTACATCAAGGTAGAAGATATTCAGTTTGTTATCACAGTGGACATGCCTTAGGTGCCATGGTAAAGAAGTCTCCGTAGTCTTCCAAGCAAGGGCAGTTAGAGACTTCTACTCCTTTTCATGAAGATCTGATGTACATAATCCCAGAATTTCCTCTGCTCTGTTTCATTGTTGTGGATCATAGCCGTGAGAGCTTCCCCCTGATAGAGGCCTTGCCAATAATCTTGTAGCCACATTTCCTTCCAGCTGAAAAGACAAAACAGGGGGCAGTGAATTAGGGAACCCCAGCAGTAACGGGCTCTGCCTTTGAGTGGCTGCAAAGAAATCATAAGCAGGTCTGGGTGGTGGCGCATGCCTCTAATCCCAGCACTTAGAAGGCAGAGGCAGGGGGATCTCTGAGCTAGAGGCCAGCCTGGTCTACAGAGTGAGTTCCAGGACAGCCAGGGCTACACAGAGAAACCCTGTCTGGAAAAACAAAAACAGGAAAACTGTAATCAAGTACTGCGGCCTCTAGACAGGACAAGGTTCTGTTGTGAAGGAAAGAGCTACGGAGTAAAACTAATACTAGTCCAAGAGATAGCAAGTAGGCCATAAACATAAAGACATAAAGAAGTCCACCCAAAGAGCTCACTTGCCTCCAGCTCCCAAATGTGGAGGCAGGACAAAGGATTCAGAGCATTTAAGTTCTAGAGGAAAGCAAGGGAGCAGTGAGGGGCCTTCAGATGGTTTTAACCTTTGCTGTTATTAAAAATCCAATTGAGTTGGGCAGTGGTGGTGCATGCCTTTTATCCCAGCACTAGGGAGGAAGAGGTAGGAGGATCTCTGTGAGTTTGAGGCCTGCGTGGTCTACAGAATGAGCTCTAGGACAGCCTCCAGAACAATAATACAGAGAAACCCTGTCTCAGAAAACAAAGAAGAAAAGAAAAGGTACAATGTAAATTTTCCTTTGTCAGATTGGCAGGGGTCTCAGATAGCTCGGGTTGCCTCAAACTCACCGCATGTGGCCAGCTGTGATCTTGAGTCCCAGATCTCTTTGGCATTAGAATTACAATGCTCATTACCATCCCTAGCTATTTCCTTAGTGTTTTTTCTTCCAGTAAATCATAATGTGTTCAGCATAAACTGATAAGATACTGTAGGGTGAGCCCTACCATATTCTTAGCGCGAGATTCCACCATGAGGGTCCTGCTGCTGCCATCCACTGCTGAAGTCACTTTCTGTGAGCTCTCTGCAGTCACTGTGGTGGCAGGTTTCAACATCTTCCGACGCGGGCACGCTCTGCGCCCTTTGCTCCACACTGACTGCCAACGCTGACTACACATCTGCAGAAAGCATCCCTTCAATTCTGTCTAGAGTCAACAAACCAGGGCATGGGGAAGTACAAGGAGAACTGGGGGTGTAGCTCAATGGTGGAGTGCCCCGACTTCATCACAAAAAAAGGTGCAAGGGTTCTTCATGACCCTTGGGAGACGGAGACAGGAGGATCACCACAAGTCTGAGGTCAGCCAGGGCTGCTACAAAGGGAGACTCTAGTAAGTCGGGTTGATTACTGTGAGGGTAAAGCCCTTTCAAAATGCTTACTGGGCGGAGGTGTGACTGGGTGCTACTCTCCTGGCATTCAGAAGGCTCAGCCTCCAGCACAGCGAGTTCATCTTAGTCTTCCCCAGTCCACGTCAGAGGTACTCAGCTGAGGTGTAGCCCTCAGCTTCTAGCCTGGCCCACTGTATACCCTCCCGCCACAGCGTCTCGGATTACAGGTGTGTCCACCACACCCAGCTCCCCAACTGCTCCTGACACCTTACAGCAAAGTGAGATTGTCTTTCCCAGTCCCCACACACTAAGAGAGCAAGCAGTTCCATGTGACAGCTGCAGGACGTCCCAGCAACCCCTACCTGTCATTCTCAGGAATCTCTTCGACTTTGCCAAAGCCAGGGGTAGGCATTGGACAGTCCATGTGCGAGGGCTGGGCAATGTGGGGCTCGGGCACAGGGATGTCCCCAGGAGAGGATGCATGTGCCTTCTCGGCTTCCAGCCGAGCCAGCTCGTGGTCACAGACGAAACACTCAAAGCCATTGAGGTAGTTAGGTAACATAGGATCGTTCACTCCCCACTCCCTGTGCTCCAGGCTATCCAGAAGAAACTGGTTGGTGATGCCCCCTGGTTGCTTGTACGCCAAGTATTTCATATACTCTTCATCATTCTTGTCCAGGAAGTCAATAAATTCTGCCAGCTTTTGAGGGGACTCGAAGTCATCAATCAGGATGATGGAGTGGTTATTGGGCATCCAGTCCCTCACAGAGGGTGAGCCACGATACACAGGCACAGCACCCAGATGCATGGGGCGCCACAGTTTCTCTGTCATGTAATCATGGCAAATGGCATTTTCCAGGGCCAGGTGGAACTTATAGCGGGACAAAAAGGCCAAGAGTTCTGGATCCTCGGTGGTGGCCGTGGCTGTGTCCTGTAACCGCACGGTGGGCAGCTCGCGGTTCTGAAGGCACTTGCCGTAGGAATCCACCTAAGCGAGGCAGAGCACGGCCGTCAGCAGGGTGCGGCGTTCGCCCGGCCCACCCCCTCCCGCCACGCCGCTCCCTCACCCACCGGGATGTAGCGCATGAGCTCTCGGACGTAGCGGTCCCGGTCCGCGGGCACATCGCAGTGGGACTGCAAGTAGAGCAGCGGCGCGTACCCGCGGCGACGCCACTCGGCGCGTTCCCGGAGCGGAGGCGCAGGCTGGAGCAAATAGGTGGCCCCGGGCAACCATTGCAGCGGCAGTGGGTAGTCCGAGTGGCGGCTGAAGGTGGCCGTGAGGTTGAAGAGGCGAATGCCAGGGCCGTGGCTCAGCAGGAAGTTGTTGAGAGGCGATTCCTCATGCAGGAGCGCCCAGCTCTGGTGAGCCAGGCGCGGCAGGGGCGCCTCGGCCGCACGGAAGTCCGTGCCGTAGAAGAGCAGTGCGCGCGTCCGCGGGTCGGCGCGCGCCCGTCGGTCCCTGGACGCCACGCAGGCGCCGAGCGCACACTCTATGCGCTCCGAGTCGCCCGGGAAGTGTGGAAACAGGCCCGTGTTCCACCACAGCAGCACCGGCAGGCCCGCCGTCTCCGCGCTCCCCGGCGGCGGGGACTCCGGCCCGCGCGCCACCCCCACGGCGCCTAGCGCAGCTGGCGGTCGGAAAACCGCGCCGTCCCACGGCTCCGCCCACTCGGCTTCCCCACCCTCCTTTGCCGAAGCCCCGGACCCGGAGCTGGGGGCCGCACAGACACTGAGCAGCCCCAGAGCGGCCAGCACCGTCTCGGTGCAGCGAGCGGCCATGTCCACAGCGGACCCGCTCGGGCAGCACGAGACTCCGCCCTGCGGCGAGTCGGGAGGGGACCAGGTCCTACCAGAGGCACGCGGCGCATGCGCGGCTCCTCTCAGCCGCAGGCTGGCTGGGAGAGGTCACGAATGATTAAAAAAAGAACAAAAAAGGATACTGGTTACATCTTATTTTATTTCTTTACAAATTAAAGATGCATTGAAAAATAAACCAATGAAAAGAAATGAAAGGTCCAGAGCAGGGGCATCCCGGGCTGGGAGCAGGCAACCCTGACCACCATCAATCCTAGCCCTTGTCCTGCCCCAGCCAATTGGAGTTGGAAGATAACTGTCAGCCACTCAGTCAGTACCAAAGCCCAGGAACGTCCAGGCACAGGAAGACAGGGAGGGCTCCAGCCATCTCCGCCTCCCCCAACGACGCCGGCTTAAGCTGCTTCTGGTAGGAGCTGAGTGGGATGTGGGTGGCTCTGTGAGGTATTGCAAGTTGACCATCAGGCTCTCTACAGAACCGTCCAGTAGTGGGGCTTCTCCAGCTGGGAAGGAGGCGGCTACCTCCCCTAGGTGTTAATATGCTTTGCAATTCAGTCCCCAGGCTCATTCATCTCTAGCTATGAGCTTCTGTCCACAAAGCGCTCACCATCATAGCAGGGGAGAGAGCAGCACAATGGAAGTAGAGACAACTAGGCATCCATCCTCAGGAACTCTAATTTTGCTCCTGACCGCCAGGCCCCCAACTGCTTTACTCTCCACCACCTACAGTCTGTACCCAGCTCTTGTGCACCTGTATATCTGATCCCTAATATAGGAAGTTGCTGATGACATGGAGCTGAATTTGCCACCTCCTGCAATAACCCTGGGGTGTCCACTCCTTCCTGCCTGCCCCTTCCCTCTTGGAGGCTGGTCCAAAGGGACTCAGTATTGCCAGGGCCTCACTGCCTCCAAACCCAACACTAGATCATATACAGTGAACTGATCAACTACATTCATTACAACAGGGTTAGCAGGAGAAAGAGGGTAGAGTAAGGGACGGGGCACCTTCCATCAGCAGGACATGACAGTGGTAGAGGATATTTGAGCCCAGAAAGAAGGTGTCTCCTTATATCTTTCCCTCCCCCCCAAAGAGACTGAGGTCAGCTTACATGACTCCTAAGATATGGAACTGTCCCAATTTCTCTGCCATCCTGGGGTACTTTCTGGAAGTTGGCCTGGGACCCTATACCATTTACCGCTGGCTTTATTCAGCTCAGTAGCTGCCGAATCTCCTTGTGCATGTGACAGAGAAAGTCCACGTAAGACGCACCTCCGCTTAGGCTCTTGTCTTCTACCAGGAAGTGCTTGAACAACATCTCCAGCTTGTCTTCCTGTTTCACCACGATTAGCTACAGCCAGGAGACAGGTTGTGAGGAAAGGCCAAGGTAAGGAAATGCTTAAGCCTCTGCCTCCCCATGCTCCTTCCTGCTGACTTGACAAGGTAAACACAATCTAGGAATCCAGTCTGTGTGGTTGTGATGGAGTGTTTCTCAGTGACAGTGTTTGCCTGGCATACAGAGGTCTGGGGTTCAATACCCAGCACCACTACCACCACAAAACAAGCAAGATCTGCGTTACCTTCATGTACCGCATTCTCTGTGCCCGTAAGCTATCAATGAGGCCTCGAACCTTCCTGGACAGTGGATTATCCAGAACTGGCAGAACACTCTGGAACAAAACTTCATTCATTACTATGATAAAGTACTTTTAAGTCCATCAAGAGGGAGCAATACGGATTTAGTTATCATCTGAAATGAGGAAGCCTGAAAAAACTTGACAGCATCTCCCCTTCCCCCAAGTGTTCTCTGCTATGTAAAGGGACCAGCATAATGACCTCATTGACCCGCAGCCAAATCACCAAAGTGTTTTTCCATAGCCATACTATCCTTGACACCCTGTTCTCACCAAGCCACTGGTGATCTGGCTGAAGGAGGAGACGTTGAAAAGGCTCTGGACGACACCTTGTTGGACGCTTGCTCCCACCCAGACAAAGAGGTTGAGCCCATTTTCCAGCAAATATATATCGCCACTGCTTAAACGTTCTTCAGACGCTCGAACTGCTGGTGGTTCAGAGGTACTGTCGATGGGAGACTTTGTCTAGACAAAAAGAAAAAAAAGTCACCAAGAACCACAAGATGCTCCTTTACACAGACAAACTCAGAAAGCTAAGTCTCCAGATAGCAATGTGAAGTGTGCATAGAAACAAATTCCTCAGTGTAAGCAATAAAGCAATCCCATCCCCTCCTTCTTAGAGGCTCTGTCCTCAGTACAGTGTCTCATACTCCAGCCCTCAATCGCACCAGTGGTAGAAGCCGAGGGTAGAAGAAGACATTGGTCTCGGCCACATCCATGGAAGAAACCAGCTGTCGAACATAGGCACGGTCATCAGTCGTGACCTCGGCTCCAGGCTGCAGAACGTCACTCTTCAACACACAGTTTAGGTAAACTGGGAGTAGCTTCATACACTCAGGAAGGATCAACTGTCCTGCAGAGGATGGGCTGGCGCAGTTCTTTCTATAGCAGGCCAGGATCTGGGCACACTGGGTGATGAGAGTGTCACGCACAGTCTTCACAGGGCTATTCACAACACCCCGATACGCTACGCGGGAAGGAGAGACCACAGTCACTGTCAGCTTCTCTTCACATGCGTCTTCCCAGCATCACACCTACCCACGAGCGCAGAATGGTTGACCAGTTCTCTCACCCGTCCCACCCTGCCCTGCTTCTACCCTCACCAAACTTGGCCATGTAGTTGATGAGCGTGTCCGTCTCACAGTTTCGATACAGATCAGCCAACTGGGTGCAGCAGTTTAGGGCCAGGTTGTGGATGCGGAGCCGACGCTGCCCTGCACAGCTGGTATAAAGCAGGGCACACTAGGGGAAGGGAGAAAGGGGGAACTCACACCCCTCCCTCAAAACCCCACCCACCCCTTACCATCTTCCCTCCAGCACCTCCGTCCACCCCTGCCCCGCCTCCCGCCTGCCACCCATCCCCTGCCCCGCCTCCCGCCTGCCACCTGCAGCAGGGCGCCGCTCTCTTCGCTGAGCCGATCGTCATGCTTGAATTCCACAGCCACTGTCTTGTCCTCATCTAGTCCAGCCAACTCCACATCTGTTGTATTGCTCATGTAGAAAGCTCCAAAGAAATCTACAGCACGGATACCTGAGGCCACAGGGATAAGTCAGAGCTAAAGACAGGACATGTGCCTCAACCAGGTTTAGCTCCAGCAGAACTCACCAGTACTTGTCCGAACCCGCATCACAGCATCAAAGCCAACCACCTTCTGTACATCCCGACGCAGGTCACTCAAGAACCGTTCCTGGTCATTCTCCACCTATAGCCCAGGCCCAGAGTCACATCACTCACCACACAGCTGCCCCTGTAGTCAGTGTCCCTGTGTCCCTTCCACTCTACAAGCCTGCTTCATCACAGTAACAGTAAAAAGGATGACAATGACAACGAAGCATTTATGAATTCATGACATACCAGGTAGCACACAGAATATTTTATATATAATTGTTGAATTCTGAAGACAAATCCTAATCAGTAAACTCTACTTTGAAGATGAAAGGACAAAAGGTGAATAATTAAGTGATTATCCTATCAGTAAGTCAGATGGCTTCAATATCTATCAACCCAGGACTGACTTGACGACCCATGCACCTAACCACTACACTCTGGGCTCAACTTCACATACCACTAGTTAAGTTAGTAGCTAAAGAACCACTCCACATATAGGCAAACATCTCCACACCCAGAACTCTATACCTGAAAGCAGGCATATTTGTAGACAGAGCCTCCAGTGAGCTGGGGGACAACAGAGAGTGTGGCCACATCTACATATTGGTTAGGGAAGAGGAAGAGGTCCACACAGCAGCCTTGGGCCACACAGTCTTTGGCCAGAGTCTGGTAGGTACCTGTCTGAGGCTGGAAGAGAGTCTGGAGGGGAACAGAAGGAATGCCACATGTAAAAGAGAAACTCATCCTTCATGACTTCAGACCCAGCACCACCTTGTAATCCCAGCAGCTAACCCAAGTTAGAAGGGAAAGGGAGGCAGAGGGAAGGGAAGAGAAAAACAAAAAGTGCAGCGTGTGTTCAAGCACACAGGAAGTAGAGATAAGAACATCGCCACAAGTATGAGGCCAGCCTGGGCTACATAGTGAGTTCCAGACCAGCCTAGGTTACATAGCTAGACCAAATCTCAAAAAAAGCAAAAATGAAAAAGAGAGAAGGTCAAGTCCACCAAGAGTTTTGTGAGCGGGTTAGCGGTCACAGATGGGACACGTGGGAGGGCAGAGTGTACCCAATCCAGCTGGCTAGCACGGAAGCGTCGGCAATGGAAAGTGACCACCCTCCTCCGTAATGGAAGGCCCCTCTCCCTCTCGAGTCGCGCACCTTCTCCTTGTCTGTGTTGATCAACTTCCTGTCATCTCTATTCTTCAGCTTCCCTGGGGCCTCTGCAATGGGCAAGGATGTGTGGAACAGAAACAGCTTTCCTGCACACTCGGCAGCCTAGGAGAAGAGATAAAATTACTCGTCCATTCTTCACTCGTCTTTTTCTTTGTCATTTATTAGGCACTGACTTGCTAGACAGTTATCAGTCACTAACCCTTTTTTCCAGTAAGTAACATGGCCAGAGGAAAGCAAGAGAGGAGGTTGCAGCCGGGCGCTGGTGTACACACCTTTAATCCCAGCACTCGGGAGGCAGAGGCAGGCGGATCTCTGTGAGTTCGAGGCCAGCCTGGTCTACAAGAGCTAGTTCCAGGACAGCCTCCAAAACAATACAGAGAAACCCTGTCTCGAAAAACCAAAAAAAAAAAAAAAAAAAAAAAAAGAGAGAGAGAGAGGAGGTTGCCAGGGAGCCAGGGACCCCAGCCTTACCTTCAGAGCTTCCATTCCAGCCTGGATAACTGGGGCAAAGACTGTCTCTGTCTCTCTTGTATCTGCAAACATTTCTGGGATCTTATCCAATAAGCTGAAAAGACAGATGATGGCAGACAACCAAAATTGCCACCGAGATTTTAGCAGCCTCTATTCTCAATTCCTGGACTAGTAATCTGGCTGCCAGACTGAAAACTCCTGGACCACAGCCTGGTCCATCCACTAAGCTTCTGCTCAACTCCCTGGCCTTCTATGGTTGAACCCTCCCGCTCCCTCTCATCTCCACCGTCTGGCTCTTACCTGGTGATAACTGCCCGGGACTCTCTGACATTGACCAGGAAGCCATCCAGCAGTGGCACAAACATGTCTGCCACATCAGATACAACCATCATCTGTGGCTGAGCCAAGGAGCTCTTCACATTGTAGAAGTGGAGCACCTTATTGTAGGTGACAAAGCCAACTCGGATGGCAGACTCTTCTGCTCCGCCCTCCCTGTGGAAGGTGACACTGTTACCCATTCTGGACACCTTTTTCTCCACCCACGATTTCATGACATGTTCCACTTGCTCAGTCAACGCAGACCCCCACCACTAAGCAAAGGAAAGAAGAACTTCCTTAGCTCTCACCTAGGCAGGTAGTCTAAGAGCGACTTGAGCTCCTCACAGAGGAGCCGAACAAGACCAGTCCTGATGGCGTTGTAGGAGACATCAATCATAAAGATGAAGGCAGGAGGACTGGGGAACTTATTGTTCTGTAGAGGAAGAAAATGATGAAGGCATAGGGAAACAGCAGCAGGCCAGGAGACTAGAGGACAATGTGACGAGCCAAAGGGACCATGACAGCGTGAGGGGAGACGAGGGCAGTTATTTGGGGCTGTCTCACAATCTCCCACCCACTACCTCTCCTCTCCCACTACCTTCCCTCACCTTGCAGTAATCTACAGTGGCCAAGAATTCATAAGAGCCCAGGGACAGCTCAGGACGGTCATAAGCATCCACACGTTTGCCGGTATGATCCAGATGTTGAAAATACTGGGGGGGAACTGTAGGGAGGATGCAGTAGTTACTCAAAGGCTCACCCTCAATCTGAGTATGCCAACTCCTAGCTGAGCTCCTTCACATCATTGCCCTGCCTCCCCAGCTCCTAAGAATGCCCCCTCAGCTATCCTAGAGAGAGAGATGGAGACGCCAGCCTTCCCCACAGAGCTCGGCCTCCACAGCATACCATCATTGACACAGCTGCAAAACGAGCACTGGAAGCGTCTTCCTCCCTCGATGAACGTCATGAGAGGACACATGTACGCTTTGCAGCGGTTACAGCGCAGAGGGCCAGCCTCCCCATGGTCCACAACATATGGTGAAGCCTAAGGAAGAAGGGGATGGGCTCAGATGGAGGGACACTAGCTACAGTGGGGTCGGACGTGGCAGCACATGACACAGCCTGGAGGGAGAGGCAGCCTGTCTCAGGTACTCTGTCTGGGGAGGAATACAAATAGAAGGGAGTGAGGACAACGGTAGGGGTACTAATCACAGGAAAACCTCCAGTTCTCTCTTTTAATTTCCTATCCCAGAATGAATTTCTTCATAAAAGGAAGAGGGAGCAAGTCAGGGACTACCATGAGTGTATGAGAAGACAAAAGTTAAACAGAATTTCTTCTACTGTCCTAGAGATGATTTCCACTTCCTTCTCTGCACATCCATACTTCTCCCCATCACTCACAAGAGAATTCTGTGACACCTACTGCTGTCCCAGGTAGACATCATCTCACAAACACAAAAAACATCTGACCATCCTCACTAGCATCCAAAATGGAAGTGAGAAAGCAGACATACTGTGAGCCTTGAGGGTTCAGTTCTAGAGAACTCTCAAGTACCTAAGTGATACTTTGTTTGGAGACAGGGTTTCTCTGTGTAGCCCTGGCTATCCCAGAACTCTGTAGACCAGGCTGGTCTTGAATTCAGAGATCCCCCTGCCTCTGCCTCTTGAGTACAGGGATTAAAGGTATGAGCCTCCATGCCTGGCCAAGTGTTATTTCTCAAGACCTAAATAAACAGCTACCTAATTTTTAAAAATGCTTTTGCTGGGCTGGACAGATGGCTCAAAGGTTAAGAGCACTCGCTGCTCTTCCGGAGGTCCTGAGTTCGATTCCCAGCAACCACATGGTGGCTCACAATCATCTGTAATGAGATCTTCTGGTGCTCTCTTCTGACCTACAGGAATACATGCAGACAGAACACTGTATACATAATAAACAAATAAAATCTTATAAAAAAATGCTTTTGCCAGTCATAGTGGCACATGGATTCTAAGTTTGAGACTAGCCTGGTCAACAGGGCCAGTTCCAGGAGCAGGTGTACAGAGAAGGCCTGTCTGGAAGAAAAAAAAGAAAACATTGCTTTCAGGTACTAGATTAGCAGATGGGGGCCCATTAGCAGATGGAATACTGGATACAATAGTACCTTCTCCTTTATATGCCTTCCTAACAGCCCTCCCCAACTCAGGCTTAAAAAAAGAGTAATACACTTGTCATCATCTAGAGGTTTGACCACACAATGAGAAATTCCTACATCTAGCTGTCTTGCCTCTAGAAATTAGTTAGATTTATTTTGTTTTAAGACAGGGCCCTGACTAGCTTTAAAGTCACAGGAATCTGCCTGACTCTGCCTCCTTTGTTTTGAGACGGAGTCTACTGTGTAACCAGGCTGGGCTGGAACTTCATGGTCTCCTGTTTTAGTTTCCTGAGTGCTACAATTACAGGTGTGAGCCTCCACATCCTGCTGGGTCTGATTCTTTTCGTTTGTTCCTCCTATGAACCCTGGTCTCACAAAGTTATTTATTTGGCTTTTGCTTTCATCCTTATTACTGCTACCAAGTTTGGACCCTGAGAAAGAAAAATACCAAAATACTGTCACATCCTGCCCAACAAAGATGTCTTGCATGTCAGTCAGAATCCCATCTAGAAAGAGACATCATCGCCTCCATCTGTTCCGTTGTGTCCCAGCCCTTCAGAGACTTACCTCCTCTGGGGGCAGCCTTGCCAGAGGCTTGATGACAGCTGCCAGAGGCACCTGAGCCTGCTTAGCCATGTCAGACGTGCAAGGGATATTATAGGATGTGCATCGAATGTACCGGGGACTTGCATTCCCTGAAGAAGGCAGAAGATTTGAGTCATGTCCCAGAAGCCTTTGGACACCAGCTCTGCACTGGTGAGTCCACAGATGTTAGGAGCTGGCCCCCGAAGGACTTTGGGAAGAGTGGGTAGGGTGGGGGAACTGGTCTCTGGTTAAAGACCAATATGATCCATGGCTGACAGCCTTAAAGAATCAGCTGCCATAGGGCAACAGAGGTTAAAGTGTGTCTCACCTTGGTCTTTCACCAGGAAGTTGGTAGTGACTAAGGGTGGCACCTGTCCCCGTACACCAGTAACAAATGGCTCTGAACCCCGGTTGTTCCTATCATCTTCAATAACCTGAATCTGAGGAAAAAGGGGATGAGTGATATGATGAAAGAAAAGGGAGTCCCAGGATACAGGCGGGCCGCACTGTAGCACAAGAACGAAGAGCACCTCATGCACCAGGCATGCTTCCTTTCGGGCCCACATCAAATGCTGCACTGCCCAGCGGGCCTCAGCGAGAATGGGCTCTCTGATGGGATGCCCCGACCTCCAGTCACTAGTGGGCACCTTTTATTCCTCCCACTCCAGGAAAGCTTCCAATATGACCCCAAAGCATAAGACAGGATTGGATTCCACTCTCCATCCCCATCATACTTTCCTCCTCCCCTCTCCAGGAGACACACCGAGTCAGAGCAAGAACACATAACAGAAACCCATGTAGAAATGAATCTACCCAGAACGGCTCTAAACTCAATGAAATTAACAAGGAACACGGGGAGGAGAGAATTCAACAGCCAGAAATGGTCAGGAAAAGTAAGGAAGCAAATGCTACCTTCCTTTCAGGTGAGCATCGGCAGGTCCATAGAGGAGAGGGTAAATACCCCATCCTTATGGCCCAGCCCTCAGACCTTTACTGTGACAAGACATTAAGGAAAACAGACACAAAAAGGATATGCAAAGCTGCTAACTAGACCCTCGTTCACGCGGGCGACCTTTGGCCAGTTACTTCAAGAGGAGTTTGATAAAAGCGGAAGAAGGGCAAATAAGGCTGTATCCTGCAGCAGGAAGACCTGAAGCTCGGAGGTACGCCAGAGTCTGACTCCCCAGATGAGAAGGTGGCCCACACTCTCCCAGAACAAGCAATCTCTTCCCTTGTAAGAAATGCCATGAACCTGTACATTCATGGCCACCCACCAGAACATGCCTCCTCACATCAGACTTTACAGACCTGCTGCTTGACTCTGTCTGGTTCCACGACATGCCACACACAAGCCCCTGGAGGAGTCAGCAGGACCCACCCTCAGAGGTGACCATCCACCACCCCACAATCAAGGCCCCGCTAACAGCTTGCTTCCTCTTCCATACATGGTGACCTGGGCATGCATATCCTTCAGCGTGTAAAGGCAAGGATGTAGATGGGCTCAGGGGAGAGAATGAAGGCATGGCCATGGTGGACGAGGTGAGGTCACAGCATGCATGAGTGGCACAGACACGGGGTGACAAGCACTCTCCCACCCCTGCACTTACTGGACTAGGAATGGCATCAGGGTCTATTCTGTGCCTGGCTCTCTGCTGAGGAGGCAGCTCATTAAGTTGCTTTTAGTGTTTTAATAATAAAGGCGGCGGGGTATACGGGGAGGGAGAGAAAAGAACAAGAGGCAGTGTTACTTCTCTAACCCTGGTGAAGCAGACATGAAGAGCCCAGCTTGGACTGCAGAAGGCGGGGACCCGGTAGATCTGGGATTTCAAGTCTCTCACAAGGAGGCCTCCGTGACTCAGACTACCATGGAGCAAGACAGTCAGGTGTGGCAAGCAGGAGGCAAGCAGGACTCTTTACGGAAGCCCTGACAGGAAAACCCTTGAGGAACAGGGAGTCCCCTAGCAGGTCAAACCTAACCCCAAGAACTCATGCTGGCAGGGGCCTTGGCCGTCCAGCTGGGTCTTCTTCCTCCCACCATGGAAGACAGAGGAGGGGCTGGCAGTGCTCTGGGTTCCCCTCAACTAACGAGCTTCCTCAGCACGGCAGTTCCCCAAAGGAAGAGGGAGGAGAACGAATGGATGTGACAATGGCTAACTATGAAGAGGTGACTGACAGCGATGTCACAGACAGGGTATAGAGGCCCAAGAGGGAGAACCGCTCCACCTGCGTCCGACAGGAAGGGCTGAGGGCTCTTTTAGCTCTGGGAGCAGCTTCCTCAGTGGAATTCACAAGCACACTGCCTTTGCACGCTATGACTGCCCCTCACCCACACAGCAGGGGCCTGCCGACCAACAGCACTGGGGGCATCATCATACAGCACTGCCCATGGAGGAGCAGAGAGGAACCAGTGAGACTTTCCTGCTCAGACCGCCTAACACCAGAGAGCTCCATCTGCTCTGCAATCAAGAATGCAGTCCTCCTAGATCTACAGAGTGAGACCTGGCCACTACTGCACAGAATGGCAAAGGTGACCACATTATTATTATGTCCGAGAACAACAGAACACAGGCCTCAACCAGAGCTCTACCAGCGTGACTGATCGGTTCCCCTCTCCTCTCTGTATAGCTCTGGGTTAAAACTGCCCTAAATTCCAAGTCTTCAGGATGATGGTTGAAAAGGGGATGTTATCAGAAAATGCCAAGCAAACATCTCATCTAGTTTACCCTACTCATCTGGCAGACACGTGTTTTCCCAAGACCACATAAGCACCTACTTACAGGGCTGGGGATGGCATCAGGGTCCAGGCGCTTAGGAGGCAGGGGCTGAGGAGGCCCAGGCTGACTGCCAAAGGTAGGTGCTCCAGGGTATGGGCTCTCATAATTAGGCTGAGGGCCTCGGGCTGGACCAAAGGAACCTGAGAAACAAGTTGACAAACTCAAAATCTCTTTCCTATCTCTCTCTGCTTAAGGACTCAGGAAAATAACTGGACTCTTTGAAGCAGATTATGGGGTGTCCCTGTGCCTGTGGAAGACACTCAAAGAAAGCCTACACTATCTGAATGAACTAAGAGACAAGAAAAATGTCATACAAACCTCACATCCTAGTAATGGCACCCCAAAGCTGTCCATCTAATTTACTACTTAGCAAGTAGTACCAAGACAAGCAAACAAAAAGCCCCGAATAGCAGCTGGAGAGATGGCTCAGAGGTTAAGAGCACTGACTGCTCTTCCAGAGGTCCTGAGTTCAGTTCCCACTCACAACTACCTGTAATGAGATCTGGTGCCCTCTTCTGCCCTGCAGGCATACATGCAGACAGAACCCTGCATATCTAATAAATAAAACGCCCTGCATGCTGAAGCCTTTGGCCCCCGGCCAAATGGGGGACACGACGCAATGACTCACCATTTTGCTGCAGCTGATAGCCCGCCTGCTGAGGGGAGTGCATAGATGGTGGCGGCACTGGGGGCCCCGTCATCTGGGTGCCAGGGGGCCCGGTCATCTGCGTGCCAGGGGGCAGAGCATGGGAAGGAGTCGAGGACACGTGGTTGGGCTGGCTCACTGGGAGACTCCCAAAGCCCTGTCCAGGCGGGAGTGGACCAGTCATGGAAGGCATCCGAGGACCACCTGAAGCTGGGGATGTGAAGCTGGAAGCCAGTGGTGGGGCAGATCGCAGGGGAGGCTGGACTCCAGGATGACCTTGAGCCTGGCTAAGGGGAGGAGCCTGGCTCTGAGGATAGGAGCCATACGGACCAGAATTAGGGAAACTTCCTGAGGCTGAGGCCAATGATGTTGGTGGACCTGAGAAACGTAAGAGGCAGAGGTGGAGGCCCAGTCACTGCCTCGTATGGTGCATTATTCTATCCCACCACATGAAACAACTATGACTGTCCCTGCATCTGGGACTCAGAGGCACAGGAAGTAAAGTGCGCCGTGGCCCCACCACTACTCACCATAGCCCAGCACAGAAGAGGGGGGGGCATGGGACACAGCACCACTGATCTGCATCCCAGCAAGCTGTGCGGTCACCTGCGTACTTGTGGGGGGCGGGCCATAGGGCTGAAGCACAGCTGGCTGGCTGACCACAGGAGCCAATGGGGGCCCAAACTGCTGAGACCCCTGGAGCCTGCAAAGAGAGTGAGAGCAGGGGGCCACAGGGTGAGATGCCTGTTGAGGCTGGCACAGTCCCACACCATTACAGGAAGCTACATTGTGTTCCGGCATTTTATGTTCATCCTGAGATCTCTGATAGCTTCATACTAGTGTAGTTGTGGCCAAATGACATTTTTGATTGTCTACACAAAGAAGATTTGTGGCAAAGCTTACCTTCTAATAGGTTTACTCTACAAATACCAAGCACCCTCAGATCAAATAATATTTAGTTTGATTGAGAGGTTATCATCTCGTTGGTCTCAGTCCTGTGTGGACAAGCGGCCTCGGGTCTGTAATCTACGCCTGAAGAGGTTGAAAGGAAAGGCACACACACAAGCAGACTTACAGCAAGTGCCTACTCAACAAACACTGAGACCAACAATGTAACTTGATTGTCCAAGTGGAGTATCTAAGACGTCACCTTGGATGGTGTGAGAAGAATCAATAGCCAAGGAAGCGGGTCGTCTGAGACTGGCATTAGACACTAGCTGGAAGGGTGATGCTTGCTGTTGCAGGAAGGGTTAGGGAAATGAAGCACCAAGTAGCCCTTTGGGTCTAGCAGCAGGACCTCGGCACTCGAATCACTACCTTAGACTCACACATGACAACACATTCAAATATGATAGTAATCATGCCAGTGTCACTGGACACCACACTCACACATGACAACACATTCAAATATGATAGTAATCATGCCAGTGTCACTGGACACCACACTCACACATGACAACACATTCAAATATGACAGTAATCATGCCAGTATCACTGGACACCACACTCACACATGACAACACATTCAAATATGACAGTAATCATGCCAGTGTCACTGGACACCACACTCACACATGACAACACATTCAAATATGACAGTAATCATGCCAGTATCACTGGACACCACACTCACACATGACAACACATTCAAATATGACAGTAATCATGCCAGTGTCACTGGACACCACACTCACACATGACAACACATTCAAATATGACAGTAATCATGCCAGTGTCACTGGACACCACACTCACACATGACAACACATTCAAATATGACAGTAATCATGCCAGTGTCACTGGACACCACACTCACACATGACAACACATTCAAATATGATAGTAATCATGCCAGTATCACTGGATACCAAATGTAGGTGGCTGCCCTGATGTCTCATGATGATCTTATTGCAGATATTTGCAACACAGAAGCTCCATCTGGGACTTGGGATGGATCAAAGTCATCAAAACAGTAGTCTCTTACACTGAAATTGACTTATACTCTTTAAAATTAATTCAGTTTATTATTTTTTTTCTTTTTAGCCAGATTAGTGGCGCACACCTTTAATCCCAGCACTGGGAGGCAGAGGCAGGCGGATCTCTGTGAGTCCGAGGCCAGGCTGGTCTACATAGTAATTCCAGGACAGCCAGGGCTACACAGTGACACCCTGTCTCAGTGAGTGCATGCCCATATCCATGACGTCCATGACGGGATGAGTGAGTAGTGGGGGGGGCTTGAAGATACCTTTCAGACATCAGTTCTCAACTTCTACCATGCTGAAGCCAAGTTTTTCTAACTTCTGCTGTACAGCATACTCCAGGCTAACTGACCCTCAAGCTTCTGCCCAATTCTCCTGTCCCCACAGCCCATCTCACTGTGAGAGTGCTGGGATTACAGATGTGCACCATGCATCTGGAATTGGTTATGGGGCTCGAACTGAAACTGTCAGGCACTGAACCTTCCCCCAGGCCCTCCCTGCCTCGTTTTCCTCTACTAAATAAGTGGTGCTTTCTGTTTGATCAGCTCCATCTGTTGTTTAGTTTAGCCAGCCAGCCACTTTTCCTTCCAATGGTATCTCTTTATGTGTGTGTTGTGCTGGGACTTGACGCCAATGACTTGCAAGTAGGCAAGCAAGTACTATAATGGTGAACTATTCTCCCATCCCTAATGCTGCTTCCAACTAGTATTTCTGCTAGTAACCCTTACTTCAAGCTCTTTGCTGGGGGCTGCATTATTTTGTGGTGCACAATACTGAACTTACTGTTAACCATACACAGACGCTCAACGAATCTTGACAGACTAACTATGTTGCTCTAGTAGTGTGGATTAGAGCTATCAGCTGCCCAGTGCTATTCTGTCAACTGCTCCACCACACCTACATATAGCATCTATAGTTTTCTATTTAATCTAACCCTACAGCAAAACAATCAGATGGAGGCCAGGCAGCGGTGGTGCGCGCCTTTAATCCCAGCACTCGGGAGGCAGTGGCAGGTAGATGTCTGTGAGTTTGAGGCCAGCCTGGTCTACAGACGGAGTTCTAGGACAGTCTCAAAAAACCAAAAAATAAAAAAATGATAATGACCTTACCAAATCCAACAGTCAATTCTCTTCCTTCATATTCCTATAGCAATGAACAAAGATGATCACTCTCTAACTTTCCTGAAACATAGTCTCTCTCCTCCTCCCCTCTTCCACTATACAGCCTTGGCTGTCCTAGAACTCCCTCTGTAGACTAGGCTGGGCTGGAACTCACAGAGATCCTCCTGCTTCTGCCTCCTGAGTGCTGGAGTTATAAATGTGTGCCTCATTTACATGGCCTCTCTTTACTTTACTTTAAATATTTAATTTCACTTAATATGTATGAGAGGGCTTGGCTTTTTTGTTGTGGGATATTTGTACACTGTGTGAAAATGTAATGCTTTAACCGGTGCAATAAAAAGCTGTATGGCCAGTAGCTAGCTAGGCAGGAGGTACAGGTAAGACTTTAGGGCAGAAAGACATCTGTGGGAAGAAAAAGGCAGTCGCCAGCCAGACAAAGAAAAAGCATGACATGTAGGAGATGAGGTAACAAACCACGAGCCATTTGACAACATGTAAATTAATAGAAATGCGCTATTTAAGTTATAAGAGCTAGTTAGAAACAAGCCTAAGCTGTTAGCCAAGCTTTCATCACTAAGAAGTCTCCGTGTGCTCATTTGGGAGATGGCAGATGAGAAAGATCTGCCTACATGTATTTGTCTCATATATGTGCCTGGTACCCAAAGAGGGCTTGAATACCCTGGAACTGGCATTACGATGGTTGTGAGCCTCCATATGGGTGCTGGAAACTGAAGCCAAGTCCTCTGCAAGAGCTACTGACGCTGAGCCACGTCTCCAGGCCCCTGACACCCTCTGCAGGCCACCCCTTACCTCACTACTGGGCCTCCTTCAGGGCTTCACTGCTGACTGCACTCCAGCCGTGCACTGACCTCCTCTTCTTTATGTCCACCACGTGAGTCCCATGCCAGCCTCTGCATTTGCTATGCCCTCTGCCTAGCTCTCTTCCCTCAGGTCTCGTGTGGCTGACTCCTCCATTCCACTACGTCTCAGATACTTCACAGAGGCTTACCTGACACCTCCTGACAAACAGCCCACATCCTCACCCTATCTTGCATCTTTAGGTACATCTGTTTGTCTATTATCATCTATTGTGTCCCGCATTTGCCTTATCTAAGACTTACATTCAGTCGGGAGGTGGTGGTGGCGCACGCCTTTAATCCCAGCACTTGGGAGGCAGAGGCAGGCGGATCTCTGTGAGCTCGAGACCAGTCTGGTCTACAGAGTGAGCTCCAGGACAGCCTCCAAAGCCACAGAAAACAAAACAAAACAAAGGTTTATATTCAGTGCTAATGTATGAATACAAGCATGTGCTAAGTTCCGCTACCCAGTTACAGTTTTAAACTATGACAAATAATACAGTGACAGACATGACTTCTGTCCTGTAACAGAGGTCTCTCAGGTTCTCATTATTCTGCAGCTTTCCTTCTGAGTCTTTCCATTTCCTGGGTGGCATGTACACATTTAACCAATCAGTCCTACTAAGTGCCTGGTCTAGTGAAAAGGGTGACACAAACAATCCTGACTTCTGTCTTCCGTTTCCTCCCTACCACAGGCTCATGGGGACTAGACCCACTGTGAAAAATGTATGTCTGGAAAAGGCTCAGAGAAAGATAATTTGGAAACGAACCCAGACGCTAACATGAATCCATAATAGGGCTAGACATTAGTAGTACCTGTAACCTGGGAAAAAGAAGGGCTGGCCACACGGCTTAGTGGTACAGACGTCTGTGAGTTTGGTCCCCAAAGCCCGCCCTGAAGGAGGGGACGATTCCCACGGGGTGCCCTCCACATGCACCCCATTCATACATACAAAATAAATAAATATAATACAAACAATTAGAGGAAGATAAACAGGATGGAGGGAGGAGAAGAAAGAATCTAATAGAGTTTAAAGAAACAGACCCTCACATTCCTAACCCACTTTCATCACACTGATGTGAGGCTCACCCAGTACACACCTCTGCATCTGAGCTGTGGAGCTTGGCCCGTTCTGTATGTCACCTTGACCAAACTGGCCATATGTAGTCTGACCACAGGGGGCCTGCATTGAGGCTGGAGGCGCCCCTGAGGAGGGTGGGGCTCTCGGCACACCTGAGGATAAAAGACAGAAATAAATGGTTGGGAAACAACTTTCTCCTCCGCCTTGAGGCAGGACTGAAAAGCAAGAATCAATAAAAGAAACCTTCACGGACTCTACCTGTAGAACAAACAAGAACGCCATACGCCTCTCACTACAGCAGTACTTGGCATGTGGATATCCAGCAAACAGGCTGCTGTCTCCAACATACGAAACATACGAGGGTGAGACAGGCAGAGCAACACAGCGGAGGACCTTCCTCTCTGGTCAGCACACACTCACACACACTCACACACACTCTCACACACTCACACACACACACACACACACACACACCCGCTCCCCCTCAACAGAGCGGAGGACCTTCCTCTCTGGTCAGCACACACTCACACACACACTCACACACACTCGCCCCCCCTCAATCTGAGACAGCTTTCAACCCTTCTCAGGAAAGTATTTCAACTCCACAGCTTAGAAACTGGGAGGACAGCTGGAAGGCAGTGGCGCACGACTTTGATCCCAGCACTGGGGAGGCAGCAGCAGTTTGAGGCCAATCTGGTCTACAGAGCGAGTTCCAGGACAGCCAGGACTACACAGAGAAACCCTGGTAAAACGGAAGAAAAAGGAAGAAGAGAGAGACTCGGAGGAAACGTGAGAAAGGTGGTACAGAAGATGAGTAAGAATAAGGGAATTATTCTATAAGAAACCTGGCCAGGTGTGGTGGCACGCGCCTTTATTGGAGCACTTGCAAGGCAGAGGCAGATGAATCTCTGAGTTTCAAGGCCAGCCTGGTCGACACACTGAGTTCTAGGACAGACAGAGCTACATAGTGGGACGCTGTCTCCAGAGAAAATTAATAGAAAGAAAGGAGGAATGGAGGGAAGAAAGAAAAGAAAAAAGAAAAATGAGAAAGAAACTGAGGGGCTGGAGATGGGGTCAGTTGTTTGTCTAGCTCATAGCCTTGGACCCAACCCCAGCACCACTGCCTGGCGGAGCTTGGAAAGATGGCTTAATAGTTTAGAACAGCTGGGTTCTAATTGCAGAGGACCTACACTCCAATCCTAGCACCCATACGGTGGCTCACAACTGTCTGTCATCCAACTCCAGAGGACCTGACTCGTCTTCTGACTTCTCAACGCATACACGCAGGCAAAGCACTCTCACCAGTAAAGAAAACAAACCTAAGATAAAGTACATGGGGTGTTTCCCTATAATCCTGGCATTTGGGAGTCAAGAGGATCAGAAGTTCAAGAAACTGGAGGGGGGTGTTGTTTGTTTGTTTTGTTTTACAGTGCTGGGGACTGAGTCAAGGGCTTCGGGCATGTTAGTCAAGGGCTCCTCCACTGAGCTATACCAACCACAAGAAAGGCGCTCACTCCCCTGAGGGGCTGTTCTGACTCTCTCTTCTCGGTATATCTTATATATCCTGTCATGCTCTCTTGACCCACTTCCATGTTAGGCAGCATTCTTTCAAGCCAGAGTATTTTTTTCTCCAAGAGGTCTATCCAGACAGATGGCGTGCACCTCAGTTAATGCTGTCCACATCCTCACTAGACCTGAGCTCTGTCCTTTGCGTGGATCCGTTCTCACATCCAAACCACTCCCACTCAGCTCAGCCACATGCAGCATAAAGAACGAGTGATGAGTTACTTGGAAAATCACTCTTGAAATGTTGCTGACCCCCCCCCCCCCCGAGAGATCAGATTCAAAAGCCGAACTTGATCACTAACAATAACAGACAGAAGTAGACAGATTTCCCTTCAGTGACAAACTTCTTTCAGAAGACAAGGACAGCTCCATTCTGAAATCAAACTTAACAGAGCAGAAGTGGACTCTGTCCCGTCAAACTCCCAACCCAGAACAAGGCTCTTTCATCTATGGAACCAAGATCTAATTTTAGCACTTTACTGGTTTTTACAGTGTGAATAAAGTAGTAATATCTCATTCATTTTCAAATCCTGCTCGTGCCTTGACTGACTGGTACCTTCTTCCCTCTGTATTAAATCTACTCTGGAGCCAGGTGTGGTAATCTAGGCCTCTAATTCCAGTATTCTGGAGAGAGAGGCAGGCAAACTTCTGAGTTCTTGGCCAGCCTGATCTACAGAGCAAGTTCCAGGACAGCCAGGGATGAACAGAGAAACCCTGTCTTGAAAAACAAGCAACAACAAAACAAAAATATATATGTATGTATATTTACTTATGTATTAGACTTATGTATTTTATTTTATATGTGTAAGTGTTTTGCTCACATGTATCACATGCATGTGCCTGCAGAGGTCAGAAAAGGGCACCGGGTCCATTGGAATGGGAGTTATGGATGGCTATGAGCTGCCATGTGGGTACTGGGAATTGAACTCGGGTCTTCTACAAGAGTAAAAAGTGCTCTTCGGGCTGGAGAGATGGCTCAGAGGTTAAGAGCACTGACTGCTCTTCCAGAGGTCCTGAGTTCAATTCCCAGCAACCACATGGTGGCTTACAACCACCTACAATTCAATCTGGTGCCCTCTCCTGGCAGAACACTGTATATGTAATAAAAATACATATTAGTGCTCTTCACCACTAAGCCATCTCTCTAACCTCACACAATTATACTTATGTATTTATTTTGTGTGGAGATCAGAAGACAACTTGTAAGCTCCTCCTAACCTGCGGGTTTCAGGGACTGAGCTTAGGTCATTATGTGTAGTGGTAAGCACCGTGCCCTCTGAACCTCAAACCTTTAACCCCACCCCCACCCGCCTTTATGGTTTTTTTTTTTTTGGTTGTTTTGGGGATGAACCTAGGATCTCGTACATGTTAGGCAAGCATTTTGTTAATGATTTACATCTTCTTTTTCACTTTTTATTTTTAGATTGACTCTTACTCTGTTACCTAAGCTGGACTTGAACTTACTCCATAGCCCAGGCAAGCTTTGAACCCACAATCCTCCTGCTGTAACCTCCCTCACAGAATTGCAGGCCTGTGCCTGTGGGATCTACTTTCTTAAGCAACACAGAGTTTGGCATTACTCTAAGTCTTCAGACAGCCGAAAGTCTTGTATTAATAACTTTACAAGTCTGCCTGGTAGCACGCAGAGAATGGGCTGCTCTTCTTGAAAAAGTAACATAAAACAAAACACTGAGGGTTGGGGGCAGAGAATCTAATGCAACACCAAGTTTTCTTATTTCACTGACACGATCGAATATCTAACAAAAGGAAACCCAAGTAAAGGAAAATGAATGACAGCAAAAGACCAGGAATACTGCCAGGCATTGGTGGCGCACACCTTTAATCCCAGCACTTGGGAGGCAGAGGCAGGTGGATCTCTGTGAGTTCGAGGCCAGCCTGGTCTACAGAGCAAGTGCCAGAATAGGCTCCAAAGCCACACAGAGAAACAAAAAAAAAAAAGAAAAAAAGAAAAGAAAAAAGGAGGCAGGCGAGGCTGTCTGGGGTGACATCCACAGAAGTGAACTGTTATTGAATCTGGAACTTATTCCCATTAGGTGTCTTAAGGTGGAAACAGTCACGTATGCAAACAACAGGGTGAACCAGACTCGTGTTCTTCAATCACAGCCCTTTAGAAGCTTCCCCAGAGCAATACAACCTAACCTGAAGACGCTCAACCCCTTCCTCCGCTCCAGAAGGAACCTGGAGACATACCTTGGGGAGGTGTTTGCTGATAGCCTGGTACCGGGCCATTGTAGGCTCCATAGGGAGAAGCAGGTACTGCAGGGCCTGGCTGCCCACCATAGCTGGCCGGATGATACCCTGGGTAGACGGGCTGGTTCTGCCCAAACGGTGGAACGGGTGGGGCTGACTGATTGACACTCATTATGAGAGCATCCCCGATCTGACCTTACCTGTTGGAGGAAGGAAAAGAAAGAAATCAGTCATAACACTTTCTGAGGAGAGGGCAACTATTCAGGGAAGGAAGGAAGAGACAGAGAGGGATTGGTCATATCAGGCAGTGGTCAGATAAACCGCTTCCACATTACCACAAGATCTCAGTAGCTTCCTGCCCTGACCAGTACCCAGTCACTTTCTTCAAAGCAAGGATTTTGTTACTGTGAACCCCGTGTTGTATCACTGCCAAGAAGGTATAAGTTTCCACTTCAGACAGACCTAATGGAACAGAACAGCCGACATTCTCCAGTGTTACGATTTTCAGTGTCCCCTGACTGATAATTACCATAATGTTACAAGTAAGTAAAACAATGTTTCCACTCTCCATTAATTCTGTGTACCATCTACTCATCCATTCATCCAAAAACACTTGAGTAACTTCAAATGTGCTGGGTTGTTTCTAACTACTAACACAAAAAATTAAAAATGGATCAACTAAAATCCCTCCCCCACAAAAGACAACTGTAGAATTGTTTTGGAGAAATGGCATTCTTTCTCTGACCTACAATAATCCAAATGTTACTCTGACCTCAGACTTTCCGTGAGAATAGTGTATTAATCCTGCAAAGATTAAAAAAAAAAAAAAACATAGCTGGGTAGTGGTGGCGCACTAGTCCCAGCACTTGGGAGGCAGAAGCAGGAAGATCTCTGTGAGTTCGAGGCTAGCCTGGTCTACAGAGAGAGTTCCAGGACAGCCAGAGCTACACAGAGGGCAAAAAAAGGTAGAGAACATCTGAACATCTAGCAAACGATATTCCATTACAAAGATCATTCATTCCATCCCTCAAGCAGAGGACTATGGGTATACTAAATCCAAAAGCATGTCTGTAATTTGGCTTCTATTCTAATGCTTGTTTGATAGGTCTTGCCCAGCAACAGAAGGATGAGTTGGAGGTCCTTTCAAGGGGCATTCCAAGAAGGGGCCGGCGGATCCAAACAGCCTTATCGTTCTAATTTAGAAGGGGGCCGGGAAGAGTGAGACTCTCACTCAGGTCTGCTAGCGAAGCCCAGAAGAGGAACTGCTACGGGACTGACAACTCTGTACAGCCAAAGCCATCTTGGGGACTGTGCCTTGCACACGCCACTGGCAGCAAGCTTGGGAGATGCCCCTCGCCCTTTAACTCCCTGAAGTCAGGAGAGAGGGGAACGGAGTAAGCTCGGAGTCAAACTCCAATCTTGACTCCACTCTAGGCAGACGGTCGAAGGTGACAACCCAGAGGGGCGGGGCAAGCCTCCTGGAACTCTCCAAGTACCCGAGGCGCAGAGGCTTGCGAGCTCCGGGATCGAGGTCAGGGAGCCGGGCCAGCCTTAGGGCCACGATGAGGGCGGCTCACTAGGCAGCGAAGACCACGCTTCGAACGCCCTTCAACATGCCGGCGGGGCGAGGCGAGGGCCGGAACCCGGCCCGGGAGGCGAAGGGAGGGGTCTGGGGCCGATCGCCGGTCACGGATGCGGGGGGCGAGGGTCTCTCCCCGGGCCCCGCCTCCAGGCCCCTCCCTTTCCTCCGCAACCGCACCACGGCCGGAGCACAGACACCCCGGCCTCCCTCGGCATTCCTCCCCAGCGCGCAACCTCGCGATGCCACTCCTCACCCGGCTCCAGATCCAGGTTCGACTTCGTTCCTAACGTCAAGGATCCCAGGCTCCACTTCCGGTTCCGAGGGAGCTGGCGTGCCGTCCCCGGAAGTTCCGCCCCATGCTGTAGGAAGGGGGGAAGGGGGCGCCACGCCTTCTGCCACGTCGGCCTTAGGCACGCAGCCGGAAGCCCGGATGCCGCGCATGCGCCTTGGCTATCTCCCGTTCCGGCTGCTGAGAAGCAACGCCGAGTTTTTCGTGCTTCTTTTTTTGTTTGTTTGTTTGTTTCCTGATGTCCCAGACTCTGTACGGCGCTACCAGCTGAGAGGGTGTTGAGAAAACTAGGCTGTCTTAGCGACGCCGCCTCTGTCGGACTGGGACACACTGAGAACCTCTGTAGCCACTTCCGGTTAACCTTTCACCCCACGGCTCGGCGTCCCTCGGCTCGCCCTCACCCCCGACCTCTGGCCCGCGCCCCTTGGCTCGATGCCTGCGCGCCTCTCTGGCTGCCCAAGACCTGTTGCGTGCTCCGTATAGATTAGTAACGGTCTCAGAGGGAAACTGCTGGAGCCAGACCTCCTGCCCCTCGGGTGAAAGAGCTACAATTCTTCCAGCGGTTGTGACTCCTTAAAGAACGATTGTAACTGTTGCTCCTCCCGCCCCGCCGTCGGGTTTTTATCCCAGTGTGTGGCCAGACTGCCGGGACCGCGAATGGAAGGGCCACCCTGGATCCTCGGTCTTTATTCTTACGCCCTCCAGGGCAGTTTATTCATACAGCTTTACACGCTTGCTCGGACCAACTCGGCTCCTAGGTCTCATGAATGGAGTAACATGTTTTGCTTTTACGTGTAATAACAGTTATGCAGTAGTGCATACTTTAAAAAGTGGGGACTTGGGTTTGCACGAGTTACTAGCGAGGCAGCTGTGCTGCCCCGTGTGTTAACGCTGATTCTTTATGTGTGGGTACTTTGAATGTGTTTCTGTGCGCCTGCTGGGTGCGCTTCCCGAAGAGGCCAGCAGAGGGCGCTGGAGTTACGGGTGCTTGCGTGGATGCTGGGAATCAAAGCCAGACCAGCTGCAAGAGCGGCCAGTGTTCTTTGTCACTAGCCCCGTGTCTGTCCAGTTCTAAAGTAACATCAGTGCATCCTGGAGGCCATGGTGTCACTGTCACCTGGGACTTGCTAGAAATGTAAATTCTTTTTTCTTTTTCTCTTGTTTTTGGTTTTTTGTTTGTTTGTAGACTGGGTTTCTCTGTGTAGCCTTGGCTGTCCTGGAACTTGCTCTATAGACCAGGCTGGCCTTAAACTTAGAGGTCTGCCTGCCTCTGCCTCTCCAGTTCTGGGATTAAAGGTGTGCGCCACCACCGCCCAGCTTTTCTCTCTTTTTCTTTTCTTTTCCTTCCTTCTTCTCTTTTGGGAGGGAAGTAAGGGGTCTCACTGCATAGCCTGGAGCTCCACACCTGGCTAGAAATGCGAACACCAATCCACCGAGATGTAGCACGGTTTTGGAGACGGGGCTCAGCAAACAATAGTCCCTTGAGTTTTAGAAATGTCACTGCTGGAGTTGGAGAGATGGCTCAGAGGTTAAGAACACTGGCTGATCTTCCAGAGGTACTGAGTTCAATTCCAGCAACCACATGATGGCTCACAACCTTCTGGAATGAGATCTGGTGCCCTCTTCTGGCCTGCAGGCAGAACACGGTATACATAATAAATAAATCTTTAAAAAAAATGTTCAAGGCTAGCCTGGGCTGTGTAGTGAGACTGTCTCAAAACAGTAAATGGATAAAGAGGAGAGGCTGTAGGTGTGGATGCAGCTCAGTATAGGGTGCTTGTGTGTGTTCAAACCCTGCCTGACAGCAGACCAATGGAGTCTTTTCTGGGTGTCTTTTCAGGGTATGTGGGTGTCTTTTCTGGGTGACCCCGATATGCACTGAGCCATTGCTATAGCACGACAGATGACATGTAGGTAGTACTGAGTATTAGTTAAAGCCATTGCTGTAACCCAATGGATGACATGTAGGTAGTACTGAGTATTAGTTAAAGCCATGGCTGTAGCCCGATGGATGACATACAGGTAGTCCTGAGTATTAGTTAAAGCCGTTTCTGTAGCCCGATGGTGACATTAAAGCCATTGCTGTAGCACAATGAATGACATAGATAGTATGTAACCTTTTTTTAGGTGGCTTCTTATTATGTTGTCCAGGCCAGGTTCACTTTGATCTTCTGTGCCCAGGAAATTGTTTTGCCTCGGTCTCCTGAGTAATGGGGACTTTAGATGTATTCATTATACAGTGTTCAGCTTCCATGTGTGTCTGCATGCCAGAAGAGGGTGCCAGATCTCATTACAGATGGTTGTGAGCCACCATGTGCTTGCTGAGAACTGAACTCAGGACCTCTGGAAGAGCAGTCAGTACTCTTAACCTCTGAACCATCTCTCCAGCCCCTAGGTTAACTCTTATTTCTGTAGAATATGGATGTGTACAATAAAAGTAAAAGATTAATTGGTACCCAGCACTCTCGGGAGGCAGAGGCAGGTGGATCTCTGTGAGTTCGAGGCCAGCCTGGTCTACAGAGCAAGTTCCAGGACAGCTTCCAAAACAATACAGAGAAACCCTGTCTTGAAAAGCCAAAAAGAAAAAAAAACAAGATTAATTGGTAAAAATAATAAACAAACAAATAAATGGGACTGGAGAGATGGTTTAGCAGTTAAGAATGCTTGCTGCTCTTGCAAAAGACCTGCGTTTGGTCCCTAGGACCTACACTGGGAGGCTTACACTCTGTGACTCCAGCTGTAGGGCGTTTAATGCCTTCTGAACTCTAGTCACTTGAACTCACATGAACATACACACACAGACACATAATTCAAAATATAATAAAAATAAATATTTTAGCCGGGCGCCAGTGGCGCACGCCTTTAATCCCAGCACTTGGGAGGCAGAGGCAGGTGGATCTCTGTGAGTTCGAGGCTGGGCTGGACCGACAGCCTCCAAAACAATACAGAGAAACCCTGTCTCATAAAAAACAAAAACAAAAAACCATAAATAAATAAATAAATATTTGAGTAGTCAGTGAAGGGATATCTGCATGCTTTTTTTAAACTGATAGTCACGTCATAAAAGTATACTGATAAACAATAAAGTAATAAGAAGTCAGGTTCTAAATTCGACTTTTACAACTATATCATAGCCAAGATAAATAGCTTCTAGCACACCAGCAGAACAGCTACTCCACAAACTCTACCCACTGTTAATCAGTAGCGGCATGATAATGTTATCTTTTGTAACCGAAAGGCTTCATAATGTGGGACACATCTGTGTGATGGAAACCTAGAAACAAGTAGAGGTTTCATTAATATCAACAGTTGCTTGTCTGCACAAACATCACTGTGACCATGTCTCCATGTCTGCCCCCTCTGTATTGTGATAGTGATTTAGTTCAGCAAACATTTGCTGAGAACAGCCTGAGATATCTACATGTTCAGCTGAAAAAAATGTAAGTGTGCACAAGATACCTATGTTGCCCAAGGAAGGAAGGATTGATTCTATATGGGACAAGCTGAGAGATGGCCAGAAAAGACTTTGAGGAAAAGGTAGCAAAGCAAATGAATCAGGGAGGCTGGAGAGATGGCTCAGAGATTAAGAGCACTGGCTGCTCTTCCAGAGCTCCTGAGATCAAATCCCAGTAACCACACAGTGGCTCACAACCATTTGTTAGGAGATCTGGCGCCCTCTTCTGGCTTGCAGGCATACATACAAGCAGAATATTATAATAAATAAATAAATCTTAAAAAAGAAACCCTGAATCAGACCTGATCAGAATTCTTCCACTGACGTTAAGTTACTTGATTTTGGTTGCCTTTAAATGTCCCTAATTTAGAAAGATATTGCTGTGTGTGATATGTGTGTGAGCATGTGGGCACACTTCTGTCGCTGCACAGGTATGAAGGTCAGTTTCTCCTTCCACTCTGGTTCCAGGGATTGAACTCACGATGTCAGGTTTACACAGTGAGCATTTTTGCCCACTGAGCCATCTCACTCGCACTAAAATCACTAATTTTTAAAAGCACACAGCTGAGCAGTGTGTCACTGGTCTCCCACTAGCCTTGCCGTGGAAACCTCTGATATGTGGGTCACAGTAATAACAGTCTTGTGGGCTACTTCCCCATCAGGGGCTTGAAGGCTGCCTTTATTGAAAGAACTGGCTCTTGGGCCTCTGCAAATGCTTGATAGTCAGAGAGCCAAATCTGTGCGTATCTGACAGAAGACTACGAAGGCAGGGGCTGTGGCTCAGAACTCCAGCTTTCTCTTACCATGCAGGAAGCCTGATCGGTCCCTAGTATCACAGGGGGAAATGCAAAACTTGTCTTTGTGCAGCAGACGCATTGATTGTTCCCCCGACCTTAGACCATCCTGCTGCTGCTTTTCAAATGCTCCAAGGGGCATGCGGAGTCAGAGGACAACTTTTGGAGTTGGTTTCTTCTTTTTTTTTTTTTTTTTTTTTTTTTTTTTGGTTTTTCGAGACAGGGTTTCTCTGTGGCTTTGGAGGCTGTCCTGGAACTCGCTCGGTAGTCCAGGCTGGTCTCGAACTCACAGAGATCCGCCTGCCTCTGCCTCCCGAGTGCTGGGATTAAAGGCGTGTGCCACCAACGCCCGGCTGGAGTTGGTTTCTTCTTTCCACCATGCCATGTGGGTCCCAGGGATGGAACTGAGGTCGGGTATCAGGTTTGAAACGCTGAGCTAATAGGTGTCTTTATCTTATACACATTCCTTATGATCCCCTCCGGAGGAAGGTTTGAGGCTTGGGTCCATCATTTCCTCTTATCTGGCCACTTGATGTGTAAACTCATATTTCTTTTTGTTTGTTTTTATTTTTTTTATTTTTTATTTTTTGGTTTTTCGAGACAGGGTTTCTCTGTGGCTTTGGAGGCTGTCCTGGAACTCACTTTGTACACCAGGCTGGTCTCGAACTCACAGAGATCCGCCTGCCTCTGCCTCCCGAGTGCTGGGATTAAAGGCATGCGCCACCAACGCCCAGCTTGTTTGTTTGTTTTTAAAGACAAGGTTTTTCCGTGTAGCCTTGGATGTCCTGGAATTTGCTCTGTAGAGCAGGCTGGCCTTGAATTCAGAGAATCACCTGCCTCTGTCCTCCAAGTGCTAGGATTAACCTCATGTTCTTTCACAAAAGTCATCCTTTCCCGGTCTAGCATACTGTGCAGTACACAGGTTCTGATTCAGTAGTAAATTCAAACAGCGAAGCGGCCCTCTTCCCTGAGGACTTTATTAGGCAGACCCCGCCATTTCTTGCTAGCTCTGGGATTGAAGCCTCCGATGCTCTCACTTTGTGGTGGGCTTTGTGGGAAAGCGGGGTGCCTGAACTTAGTTAAAAGCCAGAGATGGAGTCCTGACTGAAAGGCCTGTGCAGGAGAAGGGAGGACATGGAGGGCAGAAGCTTGTACTATAATTAGTTCTGGGAGTAACATAGCTGGGGGAGGGAGACTATTTTAAGCAAACTGTGATTGACAGGACATGTGTACCGGACTGTACTGATCCCAGGCCCAACTTGCCTGCCTATGGTGTGTGGTGGGGGGAGGCCTGGGTCGGCAGGAGCAGGACAGCCGGACAGACAGGTCGGACGGGGTACCAGCACCTCAACTTCTCTCTCAGGGACCCTGTCCAAACTTCGGGGTCCACAGGTCAAGCTGAGCGATGGGTGCTGAGGAGGAGGTGCAGGTCACATTAGCAGGGGGAGCACCCTGGGGCTTCCGGCTTCAGGGGGGGGCTGAACAGAAGAAACCTTTACAGGTATCCAAGGTAAGGGAGAATCCCTAAGATGGTGTTTCGTAGAGGAGGGACCCAAGGGAACTTGGGAAAAGTCACATGGTGACCTTCTGGGCCCGTGGGGGTGGGCAGAGTGGAAGCTTGTGAAGAAGAGGTGGGGGCGGGGGGCAGGGGGCTTGCTAAGGCTGCAGGGAGCAGACCGTGACCACAAGCTCCTGGAGGACCATTAGCAAAGTCAATTCTGGTTTCAGGGAGCAGAGCAAAAGGAAGGCCCTGCTTCAGCACGGGGAGAAGAGGCTGAGTCTGGTCATCCAGTATTTGCTCCCCTATGTGTGTGAGCTTCTCTACTCCAAACTCCAGGAATGTAGGGAAGGTTCTAATTTCTCTCTCACTGATATGTGACAAGCTAAGGCAGTCTCTCCCAGCCCTGCCCTGCCCTGCCCTGCCCTACCCTGCCCTGCCCTGCCAATGCCTTCAGTGCTCCTCTTTTCCGAAGTCATATCCCTTTTCTTAGTAGGCAAGATTAGGTGCCAGACTTGCTGATAAAGTCATTAGCCTTATGGCTTCACCCGACAGACAGTTTTCTGGGCTGTAAAGTATGGGTAATGACAGTACCAAGTTTATAAACCATTCGAAGAATTAAGTGCAATATTTCATACAGCACAATGCCTAACATTTCAGTGAGAACTCAATAAATGATAGCCCTATGTCACGATCTCCCAGAATACCTACCTTAGTTGTACCCCAGACATCTTCCTATCTTATCTGCCTTTCAATCCACTCCCATCTGAGTTCTCCATGATCCACAATCTCTCCTCCAACATCTCAGATCCGCAAACGGAGCCAGGCTGGGAGAGCGGGACTCCGGGAGAGGGACCAGCTCTTGGCGATCAATGGAGTTTCTTGCACCAGCTTCTCCCATGCCAGCGCCATGACCCTCATCGATGCTTCAGGACATCAGCTTGTCCTTACTGTGAGGAGGTATGGAGTCCTCCCTCCTCTCTCCAGACTAGGTCTCTTCTTACCTGTCTTAGCTCTGTGTCTCACTGGCCTGGCTTTAGTAACTAAAAGGACCTATTTCTGGTTATTTTTTTCTGCTGGAGAATGTCTGTATATACCTCCCGATGGAATGTATCTGCTGCTGAGGGATGAGGTGTTGAGAGGAATTTGAGTGACTGGTGACTTCAACCCTTGACCCACCTCTTCTGAGCCTCCAGATCCCTGCCTTCCCATCCCACCTATTCCAGCCCGTCCCCCCCCCAGTCTTGCCCCTTCACCCCTTCAGAGCTGTTAGTCCTGTAGACATTGGCCCCGCTTTCAAATTCTGTCATCCTTTCCACCCAGGGTAGCCGATGAAGGGTGTGTGAGATCTCCGTCTCCAGGGGGGCTCCGGGCGCTGTCACCCCTATCGCCACTGAGTCCTGAGCCCCCAGGTGCTCCTGCTCCCCAGGCTCTTCAACCCGGCAGCCTTCGCTCGCCTCCTGACAGTGAAGCTTACTACGGAGAGACAGACAGCGATGTTGACGGCCCTGCCGCACAAGAGAAGCCCCGCCGAACCCGCCGCCGAGGTCCCACAAGGCCCTCCCTTCCAGGAGCCCCACCTGATGAGGTGTACCTGTCTGACAGCCCTGCAGAACCAGCACCTGCTAAAACTGGCCCTCCCAGCCAGGGTGACAGCCGCGTGAGCTCCCCGTCTTGGGAGGAAGGCGCCGCCCTTCAGCCACCACCGGCGGAAGCACTTCTGTTACCCCATGGTCCACTCAGGCCTGGTCCTCACCTCATCCCCATGGTGGGCCCTGTCCCCCACCCAGTGGGAGAAGACCTTACTACCACCTACACCCAGAAGGCCAAGCAAGCCAGTGAGTGCCTGAACCCTTTTGTTCTCAATGGGGTCCTAAATCTGTGTCTTCACATCCACACAGCCTATCTACCTCATGGTTCCCGGACAGTCTCTGGAACCAATTGAGAAGAATAATGAAGGAGCAGAGAATAATTGACTCAGGGTTCCTCATTATCTAAGTTATAATAACTGTTATCTTATATGGCTTAGTGGCTCAGTTCAAACCGAGAACAGACACCAGTGGGGAGGGTCCTGAAGTCTGAGGTAGCTGGGGTGGTTTTGCCAGGTGTCAGTATGGAGGGGGAGAAAGCAGGGTGAGAGGCTGGGGCTTTTTCCAGTGCTAACTGTAGGTGCGGTGTGAATGCTACTTTTGACACTTGAGAGCTCATTTGGGATTCGGGGACTAACAAGATTCGGGAGGAATCATGAGACTTCTAGAAGTAGGGAAGGGATCTTTGGTTTATCTCAGGCAAGAATGTAGGCCTGGGCAGAAAAGGCGAGCCCCGTTTGTATCTGGTTCTTGCTATTTTTTTTTTTGAGACAGGGTTTCTCTGTATTGTTTTGGAGTCTGTCCTGGGACTCGCTCTGTAGACCAGGCTGGCCTCGAACTCACAGAGATCCACCTGCCTCTGCCTCCCAAGTGCTGGAATTAAAGGCGTGCACCACCAATGCCCGGCGGTTCTTGCTATTTTGATGTGAGCTACAGAATGGGATCTAGTGAGGGCCGCTCTGTCCCAGGCTCCCGTCCCTTCCACAGACTGCTTTTTTGCCATTTCTGAACCCTTAGGATTTGCTCTCTCTAGTTATCTTCCCTCCCTCCACCATGACTCTCACTTCAAGGAGTTTTACGTCTCTGAGTTTACATAGAAGCTGAAAGTGTGGGAGTTTATCGTCTGACAATCCTGAGTGTCCTATGTCCTACAAAGAAATCCCAGATGCGTGCTCAAGAGCCCATTTTTGTCCCTAATTCTCATTTAGTGCCCCTCCCTTCCCAGCATGCTGGACAAGAGTCTATGTGGTGGCTCAGGCTTATTTTTAGCCAAGCCGACCTCACAGTCCAGAGAGGGTGGGGTGAGGGGAGGGCAGGCAGGTGCCCATGTCTGTCACACCAGGAGTTGTGGGACAGGGAAAGAAGGAGGGGGACAGATTCTAAAAACAGCTCAGTGAGCTCATTCAGCTGCCAGCTCTGGGGACAAGACAAAGGGGCTTTAAAAGGACTTGGGGGTGGCCCAAGCTGGTCCTGCTCCAGCCAGCTCTGCCTTCCTCAGCATGGAGGCCATTGAGCCCATCATGGAAGAGTCCCCCAGCCAAGCCAGCTGTGACAAAGCCCCAGCTCCTGAGCTCCAAGACCCATTCTATGCAGGTACTACCCTATCCCACTCAAGGGAGTTCTGGGGGCTAGAGCAGAGGGCCATGTCTCAACAGTGCAGGGAGTGGTCTTTGGGAAAGGTCTTTTCCCTCGAGCTTTCAGGAGAGGGTCACCACCCATTTCTCACAGTGGGTTGATGCTAAGACTACATGGCAAGCAAGGGTTTCTGATCACGCGAGCTGTGGGGTGTCATGGGAGAGTGAGGGGCAGCTGTGGGGTGTCATGGGAGAGTGAGGGGCAGCTGTGGGGTGTCATAGGAGAATGAGGAGCAGCTGTGGGGTGTCATAGGAGAGTGAGAAGCAGGGTACACTGAGAATGCATGGGGACATGTGCAGATCTGTGAGAAGATCCCTAAGAATAAGAACGTGCTGTACAGGGGCAGCTTACATCAGGAAAGCATAATGGTTGCTCACAGGGGCCTTGCAGTGTGTTCAGTGTTGTTTACTATTTCACTGTGTTCAGAGGTAGCCATCACCATCCTCATTTACAGACGTGGAAAGTAAATGGCCGAGGTGAAGTAATTCTCCCAGAACTAAAGTCTGACTCCCGTGTCTATTCCCTCACGCAGAGTACTATTCTGTGTTGTACACGTGGGGACAAAAGGAATGAGGGCCCTAATTAGAAAGCAGCTTGGTATCTTGAGAGGAAAAGTAGATGGAATGTCAAGAATTTTCCAGGAGGAACTGGGGATCACAGACCAGAAAGTATTCATGTCCAGGGCGGGGTCTTAAAGCAGGGCAGCCCTTGCTACTTCCTGGCCCCACCCACTCAGGCCAATGAAATCAGCCCTGGTTCTTAGGCACACAGACTTCCTCATGCCCACCTGATGGTGAGCTGCTCTTATGAGTTCTCTGCTTGAAAGGCCGGGCAAGTGGGAGCTGAAACATTTCTGGCCTCCACAGCTGTCTACCCCAGAGCCAACACCAACTTGTGAGAAAGGAGAATAGATTTACCTGGTGACCTTGACACCCCCTAAAGATGTAGGGGGTTGCCTTGGAGAGCAGCACTCTGGCTTTTTTTGCAACTTGGATCTAAGGTTGTCCTGGATGTGAGTAGTAGCGGTATGTAGCACAAACCAGTGTTGTAGCAATTGGGAGAGCCAAGATCAGTTCTAAAATCCTGTCTACACTATACCAAAATCTCTACAGGGAGAACTCTGGGAAGAGCTACCTGAACGTATTAGGTATATAGATGTTTGTGTGAGGGTATAAGTATATGTGAACCCATGAGTATGTGGGCTGGGACAACTGTGAATATGAAAAGAACAATGGAGAAAATATGGCCCATAGCCGCTTCTCAGGAGACCTTGTTAACATGGCCGGGGGAGCTATTTCCAGCAGGGTTTATGATGTGAACAACTGGATGGGTGGAATTGTGAATGAAAAATCTCTGTGTTGGGCTGGGCTGCAGCTGCTGAATCTCCGTGAGTTTGAGGCCAGCCTGGTCTACATAGGGAGTTCTTGGACAGCCAGGGCTATATACAGAGACTCTGTCAAAAAAAGAGAAAGAATCTGTGTGTCTGGTTATAGGGGGAATAGGTGAGGAGTCGCTTACATAGTATGGTGGGACAAAAGTGTCCCTGCTCATCTTTTCTCTCTCTGGGACTGGTTCTGCCAGCCTTAGAATAACACCTCCCCCACTCCACTGCCAGTCAAGAATAGGAGGAGGGTGTGGAGTGGATACGGCTCACCTCCTGGAAAATACGGTGAAATAGAGGGACGGAGGAGCGTTGTGTGGGCAGGGTTGCTGTCCTTGATTTCACCTTTTCCCTCCACCCTGTCTCCAAGTCAGGCAAGACATTGTGGGGCTTTTCAGTGAAAAACAACAGGAGGTAAGATCTTTGGGGAGCAGAATTAGAATAGGCGGCAAAGCCCCCTGATCTGCCTACCTCTTGATCTCCTCAGAACTGCAACGTGCGGAAAGCCTACAAGAGAAGAGTGTGAAGGAGGCCAAGACTAAATGCCGGACCATTGCATCCCTGCTAACAGCAGCCCCCAACCCTCACTCCAAGGGGGTGCTTATGTTTAAGAAACGGCGGCAGAGAGCCAAGAAGTACACCCTAGTGAGTTTCGGGGCTGCGGTCGGGACAGGAACAGAAGAGGACGGCATCCCCCCAACGAGTGAGTCGGAGTTGGACGACGAGGCCTTCTCGGACGCCCGCAGCCTTACCAACCAGTCCGACTGGGACAGCCCTTATCTGGACATGGAGCTGGCCAGGGCTGCTTCAGGAACAACAGAGAGTCAGAGCTCCGGGCTGGGCGGGCAGTTGAGCGAGGTGTCCGGGCGAGGGGTTCAGCTGTTTGAACAGCAGCGCCAGCGGGCCGCCTCCAGCGCTCAGGAGCTGACTCAGGTGGGCCCAGCAGCCATGCTAAATGGGCAGGGTCTGCAGTCACCACCTCGAGCTCAGAGTGCTCCCCCAGAGGCAGCCGTGCTCCCTCTCAGCCCTTTGCCGGCCCCTGCAGCCAGCCCTAGCCCCTTCTTCGCGGATGGTGGAGCCCCCAGCGCAGCGCCAAGTATCTTTAACAGGTCGGCGAGGCCTTTTACCCCAGGTTTACAAGGACAAAGGTCAGGTACCACCTCAGTGATTTTCCGGCCCTTACCCCCTAAGAAGGTGAATGAAGGCCTGCGAGCCACCAGCCCCGCCCCGTCCCCCTTCGTGACCCCTCTTCAGGGGCCCACCCCTCTGCCCAGCTTCACCACAGTGGTGCCCGGTCACACGCCGGTCCCCGGGGCCCCCATCACCCCACGCTCCTCCGGTCCTGTAACCGCTACCAGTTCCCTGTACATCCCAGCCCCGAGCCGGCCCGTTACACCAGGAGGCGCCCTGGAGCCTCCCGCTCCTCCTAGCGCGGCTGCTATGACCTCCACCGCTTCCATCTTCTTGTCGGCGCCTCTAAGAAGCTCTGTGCGCCCGGAGGCGCCCGGCCCCGCGGTCCCCGAGTCTGCTAGTGCGCGGGAGCAGCGCATCTCTGTGCCAGCTGCCCGCACTGGCATCCTGCAGGAGGCCCGGCGCCGGGGTACCCGGAAGCAGATGTTCCGACCGGGAAAGGAAGAGACGAAGAACTCGCCCAACCCCGAGCTGCTGTCGCTGGTGCAGAACCTGGATGAAAAACCTCGGGCCGGTGGTGCGGAATCTGGTCCAGAAGAGGACGCTTTAAGTCTCGGAGCGGAAGCCTGTAACTTCATGCAGCCACTAGGGGGCAGGAGTTACAAGACCTTATCTCAAGTGGCACCAAAAACCCCGCCTCCGATGGCTCCCAAAACCCCACCCCCTACAACTCCTAAGACCCCACCCCCTGTGGCTCCTAAACCTGCATCTCGAGGGCTCCTTGATGGGCTAGTGAATGGGTCGACCCCTATGGCTGGAATCCCTGAGCTCCCAAGGCTGCAGGGGAGGGGTGGGGAGCTATTTGCCAAGCGGCAGAGCCGTGCCGACAGGTACGTGGTGGAAGCTGCACCTGGCGCTAGCCTTAACCATGGCTTTCGCCCTAGAAGTCCTTCTCCCACACCCTCACTGCCCCCGTCGTGGAAATACTCACCCAACATTCGTGCCCCACCCCCAATCGCTTACAACCCACTCCTCTCTCCCTTTTTTCCCCAAGCTGCCCGAACTCTCCCCAATAAGACCCAATCCCAGGGGCCTCGGGCGACCCCCAAGCAGGGCATCAAGGCCCTGGATTTCATGCGACACCAGCCGTACCAACTTAAAACTGCCATGTTCTGTTTTGACGAGGTTCCTTCAACTCCTGGCCCCACTTCAGGGCCTCCCAAAACTGCCCGAGTCCAGGAGATCCGCAGATTCTCCACTCCGGCACCCCAGCCCACTGCAGAGCCCTTGGCTCCCACTGTGCTAGCCCCCAGAGCGGCTACCACATTGGACGAACCAATCTGGAGGGCAGAGCTGGCCTCACCCCCTGTCCCTAACCCAGACCATCCTCAAGAGTCTCCCAGGAGCTTAATTGCCACCCCCAGCTCCTGTGGTTTCCAAGTAGCCAGGCCCCGGTTCTCAGCCACCAGAACAGGGTTGCAGGCTCATGTGTGGAGGCCTGGGGCAGGGCACCAGTGAGCAGGGAATAGTCCCAGGACCAAGGAATGGAACTTAGAGTCCCAGAAGTTTCTTCTGCTTTGTCCTACCGACTTTTTCTCCCCGCGTCGCCTCTTGCCAGAGACAGTGTTCCCTTCCGTTTCCTCAACTCCCAGCTGCTGCTTTTAATCTGTTCTCTGTTTCGGTATCTTCTCTGTATTTCACTGCCTGGATCTCTGGCTTCTCTACTCAGAGGTCCTCTCTCTCTCTCTCTCTCTCTCTCTCTCTCTCTCTCTCTCTCTCTCTCTCTCTCTCTCTCTCTCTCTCTCTCTCTCTCTCTACACACACACACACACACCACACATTTGTGTTTCTCTCTGTGGGCAGCAAAGAGTAAAATGTTCACTGAGATCTCAGGCAAAAAGCTCAGCAACTAAGGGACTGAACCCCTCCACACTCCGTACTCCTCACTCAGTGTGTGTGTGTGTGTGTGTGTGTGTGTGCGCGTGCGCATGCGTATGAACAGATGTGCTTTCACGAATGTGTGTGGTTAGGATCTGCTCTGGAAAGGCATCAAATAACAATACACGTGTGCTTCTCTTGAGACAAAGGTAAGAGGGAGTTCTTTTCCTTCTGCTGGCAGGGTCAGATAGTTCCACAGGGAGTCCTGCAGGGGACAAGAGTAACTGCGGAAAAGCCCCTAGAGGAGGACTGTCTGTAGCAGGGACACAGCATTGTGATATTAATGAGTCTGACGGTTTTCATGGGTGTTAGTTATACGAGCTAGACCCGGGATAAGACTAAGAATTCTATTTCTTTGGATTTCAAGAAGTTAGCAACCAGGGTCCTGTGCTGAGCAAGTCAGTATCTAGAAGGTAAAAAAAGAAAATTTCTTCTGAACTGCCGAAGACAGGAAGGATGGTGAATGGAGACAGTGGATGGGGGAGATCAGGGCTGATGTGAGTGACCGTGACCGAGAGGGAGAGAGGAAAGCTGGCCAACAAGAAAGCACCTCTGTGTGAGGGAGCCTAGAGGGTAGCGTGAGCCTGGGGGATGCACGCTTTTGTCAGAGCGAGGTGAGGATGTGTGCGGGATGTTAGTTAGGCGGCTGTCAATCAAGCCGTCCTGACTACCTGGGAAAGGCGGGAGACGCCAGGCCCAACCCTCTTGTCTGTCCCATTCTACCCGCAGAGCCCAGCTTTTGCCCCTGTCAGCTTCAGGTTTCATTACTATTCCCAGAAGGGTAAGGACTCTCCTTCCATGAAGACCACAGCAGCCATACTTGCTGCTTGACCTGGAAATTGATCTTTTCCTTGGCAATGCCGGGTGCCACGACTCCTTGGTTTGTGCACAAGAATAAAGCATGTCCACACCTTCTGTTGCTGTCTCTGTTCTGTTCTAGCCCAGTTTGCTGATCTGATCCCTGCTCCGCGACTCTCTCCCTGCCCTCATCCTGCCCTTCTGCAAAGTTGTCTAGCTTTGACCAAGTCGCCTTCACTACTCCTCTTGGTTTCCTGCCCCTGCACTCGTCTCTTGAGCCTCTCCTTCTTCAGGAAGCGCATTTGTTCTAGGGGAGGCTCAAGTTTGCACAACTGAGAGTAACTGGAAAGGTGCCCGGATCCCTCCGCCATGGACATTTCCTGGCTCCCTGGAGGAAGTAGCGATGTTAAACATTCTCTGGGAGACATGCAAAGGGACTGCAGTGGCAGTGTAGGAGGTGTGGAGCAGAGGAGAGACTGCAGTGAGACCAAATGGAAGACTGGGGACTGGCGTGAGAGGAGCTCACCAGAAGGGGGCATGTTTGTGTCAATAACCAGATGCTCCCAAGTACAGTCTCAGAATTCCAAGGAAGGGCCGAGGCATCATAGGTTAAACAGCATGTCTTGATATATTTTGTTTCAGATGCTCGGTGATAGGAGGTCAGGATTCGAGTTTTGTTTTGTTTTTGACAGGAATGTAGTAGTTATAGCAAAGTTACCTTTCATTATTTATGTTTTTTTCTTCCGTTTCCTAGGGAGGAAATGGACCAAAGATGAAAAGTCTGGGCAGTGGCCACCTGCTGCGGTGTGTGGGGAGGACCGTTAGCCCCCAGTTTAAGCATGATAAGAATAGGATGGAAGAAGGGTGTGGTCAGGAAGGATGGGGGTGGGGACTCACAGAGGGACCTGTGCATTCTGGAAGCTTCAAAAAACACTTCCTGTGAGGTGTGGGACCAAGGAATGGTCATAGTGGTGTGTGTGTAAATGTAATCAGAGCATGATGATACATGTGTAAAAAAAATAAACCTTTCTTGGAGGGGGGCCGGGAAGGGCAAGATTTTTCTGTGTAGCCTTGGCTGTCCTTAAGTGTAGAGATCCACCTGCTTATGCCTCCTGAACACTGGGATTAAAATCATGTGCCACCATGCCTGAGCTCATGAAACCTATTATATGTTTACTAAATTCACCCCCCCCCATCAACAACAACAAAAAGACGCCAGTTCCTTAGGCAGCTTCTGTGCAAGAGACGCAAAAGCAGCAGGTTTCAGACCAGCAGAAGATGAAGCGTTCAGGGTATCGCTGCAGCTGCTGAGACCGACCGTGGTTCTCAACAACCTTCCTGATGCTGCGACTCTTTAATGCACCTCATCTTGTGCGGACCCCAACCACACGCCATTGTCGTTGTGGCTTCATAGCTGTAGTTCTGTTGCTGCTATGAACCTAACGTGAATATCTGACATGCAGGATATCTGATACGCACGCGGTCCCTGCGAAAGGGCCCTGGCCCACAGGTTGAGAACCACTGTGCTAAGAGGGAAGAGGAGTGAGGCCGATGGGCCTTCGTCACATCCGCTGCTCTAGGATTGGCTAAGTTGGTTCCTTATCCCACCAAAATCTATCCATCAGGGAGAAAGCCGACCTATTCAAGGAGTTTAAAAGCAACTCCACTGTGAAAATTTCCACCCTAGCCTCCAATTTACGGCTTTAATCCCTTCCACCTTCAAATGCATCCATGGGTCCCTCCAGTCCTGGCCTGGGATGTTTTCTGGTTTTGTTTTTTCCTCTACCTACTTTTTTTTTTTTTTTTTTTTGCAGGGGGAGGGGGTTCGAGACAGGGTTTCTCTGTATTGTTTTGGAGTCTTTCCTGGAACTCGCTCTGTAGACCAGGCTGGCCTCGAACTCAGAGATCTGCCTGCCTCTGCCTCCCAAGTGCTGGGATTAAAGGTGTGCGCCACTAATGCCCTGCTCCTTTACCTACTCTTTTTTTTTTATACACAAATGCAGAGTTTATTGACCTGAGATCCAGCAACACTATGGGATCCAGTTCTTGCCTGGGGATATGTTTGCAGAGGTACACGGAAGCCCCTACATGGTTAACTCCTTTACCTACTCTTAATTCTTACCCTCCACTTACTGTCTGTCTCCTCTCTCCCTCTGCTTTAAATTGCCTCCTGAGATGGTTTCTCTGGATCTGAGGTTCAGGGTTCGAGGAGGAGGCCACCCCTCAGCCGACCGGTCACTGGCTCACACAGCCTGCTGGGAGAAGCTAGTAGGTAAGCCTTGCCCCTTCCTGAACTTGGTTCCAGGGTCTCAGTACCCCTGTGCCATTTGAGCTGCTTGTTCTCATCGTCTCTATTAATAGCCACCGTTCCTCCCCCACTGCCGGTGCTGCCCCTACACTTGCCCAGCTCAGGTTCTCGGTCAGTCACAGCAGCGCTGTCCTCCAAAGCTGCTGGACTCCAGGGCGAGCTGACCACCAACCGAGGCGGCCGGTAAGTCTGTGGCTCTCCGGTACGCAGGGGCTGGAGCCCACCCTTCCCATCTCTCTGTCTGCGAGTGTGACCCTTCATCCTAGGGGAGCCGCCTCTCTCCTCATCCGAGCTCAGCTCCCAGCTGTCGGGTTGGAGCCACAGAGTCAGAAAGAAATGGACCTAAGGAGTTGGGAGGAATTAAAATGGGTGGGGAGGTATCCGAGGAATGGGAAGGGGTGGCCTGAGAGCCTGTGAGGTTGGTAACGTGTAGTGTTTCAGAGACAGGGCTCACAGACAACTGATGGCCATTAAGGACAGAATGAAGTTGACGTTTTCTCCTAGCTTTTCCCCATCCACAGCCAGATCTTATTACTGTTTCTGTCCCCCACAATTCTCTACTGCTACATATGATATTGCTGAACTGACATCTGCCAGTGCTCAAATGCCCTCAGCTCACTCTCCACCCGGCTCTGCAGCTTGGGGCAGGAGTGCCTGGAGGAACAAGGAACACCCTGACCTCTCAGGCCATGGTCCAGCTGGCCTCCTGGAAGAACCACAACCTCTCCTTCCTATGGAGCCTGTCTGGCTGAATCTCGTCAGCACCAGCACAGCATTTCTTTACCCCTTGGCCCTAGAGGAGATCAGAATCTGGAGCCATAGCCGAGGGCCGATACCCAATGCAAATAAACTTTAAATCATGCCAGGCATAAGAACGCTGGGCCCACTGCCCTGCCAGGGTGGTTGTCTTTTAAACAGCTCTCAGCCCCCACGGGGTCTATGGAAATGAGCAGCGAGGCTGGTAAGAGGCAGGGAAAGGGGACTCTGCCTCCTGTTCTGATTCCAAAGAAAACAAGCCTCAAGACAGTGCAGGGTTACCTTTGGGGAGGAATACACATTTCTGTGAAAACCTGGGAGCAGACAGCATAGTTTAGTGGTGGAGAACCTGCCTAGTATACATGAAGCCTTGAATTCAATCCTCAGCACTGGAGAAACACACACACACACAACACACACACTCCGAAGAAATTTTGTCCTTAACCCCAAGTTAAGGAGCATTAAGGCGGGAGGTGATGGCACATGCCAACTGGGGGGGCAGAGGCAGGTGAACCTCTGAGTTTGAGGCAGCCTCTCCTCAGAGCTAGCTTTAGGATACAGGACAGTCAGGGCTACACAGAGAAACCCTATCTCAAAAAAGAGGAAGAGAAGGGAAGGGAAGGAAGGAGAGGGAGGGAAGGAGGGAGGGAGGGAGGGAGGGAAGGAGGGAGGGAGGGAGGTATTGCTGTAGTACACATACTCACTTCCCATTCCCTGTTTCTCCTTCAAGCCTGCTTCCCACTCTTTCCAGGACAAGTCCATCTCCACCATGCCGCTCTCGGGAACCCCGGCCCCTAACAAGAGGAGGAAATCCAGCAAACTGATCATGGAGCTCACTGGAGGTAGGGCAAGCTTGTAGCTCCCTAGTGCCGGACTTTAATGAGCACCCCTGACCCGGGAGTCCCAGAAACAAGTTTGAGTGAGAACACATGAGGAACTCCAGCCGTGGGGGTGTGGGACAGAATTGATGGGAGAGTAAGTCGGGCAAGGGGAGGGGCAGGAAGAACGCCACATTCACCCCCTCCTCCCTCCTGGCCACTGGCGACAACACCCAGCTACTCTCTCAGCCAGGCCCAGGGTCACAGGGCCCAGGATCAGTGAGGCACATGTGAGGACACACGCTAGACCTCACCAAATGGTTCACTTCCTTATTTCTTTCTAAGTGCGAGAGAACTTGTGTAAGCATTTAAAATAGGAAACTGCGCAGGCATACTCCCCAGGGACGCAAACCAGTTACCAAGTGTGAAGTTCTCCTGATACCTCTGGAGCCAAAGTTCACTGGATCAAAAAGAAAGAACACAAGGACCTGTATTTAGAGATGGGCAACTGCACATGGTATTGGACTATCAGCTCCCCCAAGCTAAAATTTCCCCAGTGGCCTCTGTCTCCGATATTCCCGTATGCTTGTTCTCTTCCACTCCAAGCCCATACTCTTTGGCCCTGTTTATTTCTCTACTCTAGTGTTCCAACTGTATATGCCCTGAACTCTTGTTCCCTTGTATTCTCTCTAACTCCAAACCAGGAAATCAAGACTTCTCATGGGGTGTGTATGGTGGCCTATGCCTTTAATCCCAGTGTGCAGGGCAGAGGCAGGCTGATTTGTGAGTTCAATGCCAGCTGGTCCAACAGTGAACTCTGGGCCAGTCAGAGTTACATGGTGAGATCCTGTCTCAAACTAACTCTGTCTCTGTCTCCCTCTCTCCTCTCTCTCTCTCTCCCCTCTCTCTGTCTCTCCCTCCCTTCCTCCCTCTCTTCCTCTCTCTCTTTCTCTCCTCTCTCTGTCTCTCCCTCCCTTCCTCCCTCTCTTCCTCTCTGTCTCCCTCCCTCCCTCTCTCTCTCCCTCCCTCTCTCTGTCTCTCCCTCTCCTCTCCCTCTCTCTCTCCTCTCCCCCTCTCTCTCCCTCCCTCTCTCTCCCTCCCTCTCTCTCCCTCTCTCTCTCCATCCCTCTCCCTTCCTCTCTCTCTCTCCATCCCTCTCTGTCTCTCTCTCTATCCCTCTCCCTCCCTCCCTCTCTCTCTCTCTCTCTCTCTCTCTCTCTCTCTCTCTCTCTCTCTCTCTCTCATACACACACACAGAGACACACACCCCACACAACACTGAAAAAGTGAGAAGATGAGGAGGAGAGCAGGTTGCTCTTGCAGAGACCCAGGTTCAGTTCCAGCACCTGCATGGTGGCTCAGAACCATCTGTAACTCCAGATCCAGGGATTTGAGCCCTCTTCTGACCTCTGTGGGTCACATGTGGTGCACATACACATTCATGATAAATACTCGTATACATAAAAAATTAAAAGATACACAAATGAGACAAACAAAAACTTCTCATAAACTAGGCAGACGTTGGTCAGATAACAGCATCTTGCCCCTAAACGATCTCTTTGGGAGTTCTTCTCTGAGTTCAGAAAGCCTTAATTCCTTACTTTCCTCTTTCTATTGCCCCTTCTCCACCTCCTGAGTAAGGCGGGCGGGAGAGCTCGGGCCTGAACCTGGGCAAGAAGATGAGTGTCCCAAGGGATGTGATGTTGGAGGAGCTGTCGCTACTCACCAACCGAGGCTCCAAGATGTTCAAGCTGCGGCAGATGCGGGTGGAGAGGTTTATCTATGAGAACCACCCCGACGTTTTCTCTGACAGCTCGATGGTGAGTATGGACATGCCCAGTGCCTTTCCTGACAGCCTCTCAGCAGGTCCCAAGTCCCCAAATACCACCCACCTCCTCCCCATGAGAAATGATAAGCTCATTAAGCCCCATACATACATTACATTCCCAGCAGCTCTAGGGTGAGTTGCAGCCCATTTCTGAAGCTTAGTCCCCATCTGAGAGCCAGTGCAGGCTGCAGAGTACCACACCCAGAGGACAATTCCTTCCCAGTGTGTTTAAGTGCTAAAACAGGGTTGCCAGATAAAACACAGGACACCTGGTCCTGTATTTTGAAGTTAAGATCCACAATGAATATTCTTTTAGTGAAGTGTGTTCTTTGTAATATTGGGGACATAAAAATAAAACAAGAATCAAACACTACAGCATCTTGGGGCTGACTGTATAGCTGAGTGGCAGAGCAAGTGCTTACAATGCATGGCCCTACGTTTCATTTCCAGTGCCCCCAAAAGCAACCAGCAAGCAACAGAAACCAAAGAGAATACCCAGTGACATTTGACCTCCAGGTCTACACAATGAGCTGAACCACTGAGGAGGCTGAAGGAGGACTGCTCATGAGCTTGAGAAGTTTTTTACAGCCAATAGTTGACTTTTTTCCCCTATAAAACATGTACATTTTGGACATAAAAACAATATAAGATTTGAATAATAAAAATTTTTGGAGATAGATTCTTACCATGTAGCTCTGGCTGGCCTGGAACTATGTAAACCAGACTGGCCTCAAACTCACAGAGCTCTGTCTGCCTCTGTCTCCTGAGTGCTAGGTGTGTTACATTTGAAATTTAAATACATAACAAATACTTTCTTTTTTGTTTTTGTTTTTCGAGACAGGGTTTCTCTGTATTGTTTTGGAGACTATCCTGGAACTGACTCTGTAGACCAGGCTGGCCTCGAACTCACAGAGATCCGCCTGCCTCTGCCTCCTGAGTCCTGGGATTAAAGGAGTGTGCCACCAACACCCGGCAACAAATACTTTTTTTTTTTTTTTTTTTTTGGTTTTTCGAGACAGGGTTTCTCTGTATTGTTTTGGAGACTTTCCTGGAATTAACTCTGTAGACCAGGCTGGCCTCGAACTCACAGAGATCCGCCTGCTTCTGCCTCCCAAGTGCTGGGATTAAAGGCGTGCGCCACCAACGCCCGGCTAACAAATACTTTCTTAATGTAAATTTGTCCCATTAAATGCTTAGGGCATATTTCTACTAAAAATACTGTTCTATACCTCAACATAAAATATAAGTAGTAGTCTGCAATTTTAATTTTATTTATTAAATCTGGCAATGTTAGGAGAATCTGATGAGTTTTTATAGCCATCTTCCTTTTGAATAAACCTTTTTTTAAGGTCCAGTCGCTTCTTTAAAGGTGCTGAACAGGGGACTAAAAACCTCTTTCTCTGAGACCACACATGTTCCAGGCAGGCTTCTCCGAAGAAAGAGCAGGAGGACTGGAGAGAGGCCAGGCACAGGACGTTACAGCTGAGGAGGAGGGGACCATTCCCTCTCTTCCTCCCCCATCTCCTTTGGGTGGCTGGGGGACAGTGGAAATAGATGCCTACATAGACACGGCCAAGACAGGAGTGTCTGTCATTAGCCCTTATACAGAATCAAAGTCAAAGTGCTGAGTAGGTCATATCTAACTTTAGGAGGCCCAAAGGCCTCCTCTTGGCTGGGTCTGGTTACAACTGGGTAGAGCATGGGGTTACTCGGTAAGGTGGCCAGGAGGGCCTCCTCAAGGAGTTGGTGGGGGTTATTTTTAGGCATTGGAGCCAAAACCAGTGTTGCCCTTTTGGCCATCCTCCCCCGCTTCACCTGCTATAGTTTCACTGTGAGAAAGTTCTGGTCCCATAGGCAATCACGCCGGGAGAGGGAGAGGAGCAGGGAATTGTGAAGGGGAGGGACAGAGATTTTTTTTTTTTAATTAAAATTGGCTTCTCCCTGGAAACTCATCCTTGCAGATCCTTGTTGGGGGAGCTGTCTTCATTCGCACAGTCTGGTCAAGACAGGAGAGGAAGGGGAAAGAGCTGCCTCACCCTGAGGCATAATTAGGGAATTAACCCTTTGCAGGACAGTAATTGCCTCAGGCTGACTATATTCTATGCAGTCACCAGGAGTTCTCAGAAATTTGGGATCCCTGACTGGGCCCTAACCCATCACCCCTCCTTGCATGTGCACCTCTCCTCTGTCTGTGTATTTCGCATTCGCATTGCTAACCTTCCTCTTGCTTTGTTTTCTTCCAGGATCACTTCCAGAAGTTCCTTCCCACAGTGGGAGGACAACTGGAGACAGCGGGTCAGGGGCTCTCCTATGGCAAGGGTAGCGGTGGAGGCCAGGCCGGGGGCAGTGGCTCTGCTGGGCAGCATGGCTCTGACCACCACCATCATCAGGGCTCCGGCTTTGGAGCTGGGGGTGCAGGTGGTCCTGGGGGCCAGGCTGGCAGAGGAGGAGCTCCTGGCACAACAGGCACTGGAGAGCCAGGAACAGGCAAGGATTCTCCCCAAAGCAGCACCTCTGGTCCCTAGAGCAGAGATGTCCTAAGAATAGGGGCCTTTTTGAGTATGGGAAGAGGGAGAATGCGGCATCTTGGACCCAGAAGTTATCCAGGATGCAGCAATGTGTCTACTCCACCCACAACCTCATCTTTTAGTTATTTTTTCTGGCTTCTCGGATTCAGTCACAGATCTCACCCCCTGACTACCATTATGTTTAAACCACATAAAATTCCCAGGATTCTATGCCTCTGGTCTCTAGACGCAGCAGCTTCCCTAGGGGTGGGTCCGGGTTAGCTTTCGTTAGCCACCAATAATAGCTGCTATTATTTGATTTTCTTTTCTCTGTCATGGCTACCAGGTGACCAGGCAGGTGGAGAAGGAAAACATGTCACTGTGTTCAAGACTTACATTTCCCCATGGGATCGGGCCATGGGGGTTGACCCTCAGCAAAAAGTGGAACTTGGCATTGACCTGTTGGCATATGGGGCCAAAGCTGAACTCCCCAAATATAAGTCCTTCAACAGGTAGGGTAGTGGAAAGAAACCAGATGTATTCCACTGTGGTGTTTACTGTGTTTTATTTGGTATGGGATTATAGGTAAATGTTTCAGAAAACCACGGGGATAAGGGACCCTCATTGAAGATCTCTGAGCTTTTGCTTCTTATAGCAGTGTGGTAGAGGAAAGATTTGTTAGGAAGCAAGATGTTAGTTCACTGATTAGCAGTTTGGGCACTGCTTTTTTGAGCTTTTATTTCTTTGAAGGTAAAACGGGGACACTACATTTTGTGGTTGGAGGCTTCTTCTGGCTCCCACCCATTCAATGTGACAATGCCATTACTCTCCCTACAAGATCCTGGTATTTCTATACACCCTGCTCCATGTCACTGTTTTAGAATCAGACATTGTAGACCATGGGTAGACCTGTGAGAGGGGTTGAGGAAGCTCTACAAAAGAGCCTTTGCATTTGATTGTTAATTTCTCCCAGCCAGACCATCCACGATCCCTTTGAGAGTAGAGCTAGAGGGGGCAAACACATTGTAATCTAAGATGGTCTCATACTATTGGGCCTACAATATTGGGGCCACGTTTCCTAAATGCTGGTGTATGTCACCACCGTCCATGAGGCCGTGCAGGGTCCACTAGACTCCATTCATCACTGACTCTGGAGAGATAAGCAAGCCAGGGATGTGGGGTGTTAAGGAGCATAGAAGCAATCTCTAGCTACAATTTGTAGACTCCCGTCCCTTAAAATAGGGTACTATGTCATTAGTAAGGTACCGTTTCTTTTATTCTGATTCTTAGTTATGTAACATGTCCCCCTTTCAGGACAGCAATGCCCTACGGTGGATATGAGAAGGCCTCCAAACGCATGACCTTCCAGATGCCCAAGTTTGATCTGGGGCCTCTGCTGAGTGAACCCCTGGTCCTCTACAATCAGAACCTCTCCAACAGGCCTTCTTTCAATCGAACCCCAATTCCCTGGTTGAGCTCTGGGGAGCCTGTAGACTACACCGTGGATATTGGCATCCCCTTGGATGGAGAGACAGAGGAGCTGTGAAGTGTTCCCCCTGTAATTCACATCATTTTCCCTCTTTGCTTCCAATCTGAGAGGGGATGCTGGACAGGATTCCCCAACTGCTACTGCAGTTCCCTTGTGGCAGTGGAGGGTGAAGGGGGAGCCATTGCCTTTCTACCCTCGAGTTCCCACTGCAAAGCACCCTCCTCATCAACTCAGCCCCCACTCTGCTGTCCCACATGGCATCTGCTCTCTCATGGGGTCTTCTCCGCTGCCAGTAACAGTCAATAAACTTCAAGGAAACCAACTCACTCTTCCTCTGATGTTTGAAGCTGATGAAAATGGAGGCTGAGGATGCACAAAGACCAATTAAAGCTAAGTACTACACACTCGCTGTTCAGACTTTAAGACCGTCTGTGAGCTTCGGTTGCTTCTATACACACACCCACACCCACCAAACCACATTCGTCAGGTATAAATTCAGTATCACACGAGGTTTATCTTCATGTGTAAAACCACACGCTGGCGGGGCATTGGTGGTGCAAGCCTTTAATCCCAGCACTCGGGAGGCAGAGGTAGGTGGATCTCTGTGAGTTTGAGACCAGCCTGGTATACAAGAGCGAGTTCCAGGACAGCCTCCAAAGCCACAGAGAAACCCTGTCTCAAAAACCAAAACAGACAAACAAAAAACAAAACAAAACAAAAAACCCAAAAAATAAAACAACAACAAAAAACACATGCTGGTCCACCTGTGTATAAAGCTAAGCAGGTATTGTACACTGATTAGGAAATAAATGTTGGTAGCCCTGTATTTGTTATCTTTTTGTGTAGGGACCTAGGGAACACCAGGAGAGGAAAATGGAGTGTTAAGAAAGTGAAGGCTCAGCTGGGTGTGGTGGCGCACGCCTTTAGTACCAGCACTTGTGATGCAGAAGTAGGTGCTTCTCTGTGAGTCTGTGAGTTCCAGGACAGCCAGGACTACACAGAGAATCCCTGTCTTAAAAAAAAAATAAGAGAGAGAGAGAGAGAGAGAGAGAGAGAGAGAGAGAGAGAGAGAGAGAGAGAGAGAGAGAGAGAGAGAGAGAGAGAGAGAGAGAGAGAGAGAGAGAGAGAGAGAGAGAGAGAGAGAGAGAAAGTGAAGATTATTTTGATTTTCACAAAACAAGATCATGTTTAAAGTTACCGCAGGAGCTGGACAGCTCAGCATAAGCGCTTACTGCTTTTTTTTTTTTGCATTTTTTATTAATTTGTATTTTACATTCTAATCCCAGTTCCTCCTCCCTCCTCTCCCACTCCCCCTCCCATCTGTTCCTCTGAGAGGGTGAGGCCTCCCCTAGGAAGTCTTCTAAGTCTGTCCCACAGTGTCACTGAGGCAGGACCAAGGCACCTCTGCACCCCCACACCCGTGTCTAGGCTGAGGAAGGTGAGGAAGGTGTCTCGCCACATGGAATGGGCTCCACTAGGTCAGTTTGTGCATTAGAGTTAGGTCTTGGACCCACTGCCAGAGGCCTCATAGCTTACTGCTCTTTCAAGGGACCAGAGTTTGTATGCTAGCAGCCAGAAATGTGCTGCTCACAAGCACCTGTAACCCCGGTTCCAGGGGATCTGTTGCCCCTCAGTGCACATACATGCATGCAGACAAAACACTAACATACATAAAATAAAGTAAATAAATCTAAAGCTACAGGTGCAAGAGTGAGCTTGGGAATACATATATAAAGGCTTAGGTATACAGGGCTGGAGCGAAGGCTCACAAGTTAAGAGAACTTGTAGCTCTTGCAGAGGACTGGGGTCTAGTTCTCAGCACATACTGTGGTTCACAACCACCTGTAACTCTAGCACAGCGGATCTCATGTCTTCTTCCCTCTACGGGTACCAGTGTGCTGCACATACATCCACACAGGCAGAACAATCACACACGAAAGTAAACCAAAAAGAAAAGAGAGAGAGAATATCCTGCTGGGTGCTGGTGATGCACACCTTTAATCCCAGCACTCGGGAGGCAGAGGCAGGCAGATCTCTGTGAGTTTGAGACCAGCCTGGTCTACAGAGTGAGTTACAGGACAGCCTTCAAAACAATACCAAAATACAGAGAAACCCTGCCTCAAAAAGAGAGAGAGAGAGAGAGAGAGAGACAGAGAGAGAAAAAGAAAAGAAAAAAAAAGAAAGGGAGTGAGGAGAAAGCCAACAACGGGTGTTTGGGTGATGGAGGCTGAATCCCACTGGAAATCTCAGCTAGCCATGCCAGGCCAAGAACTCCAAGAATGCCATGGCTGGTGGCAGCAGTATCTGAGGAGCTTGAAAGTGGGCATGGTGGCTTGCCCTGGTCTGTGACGCTAGCATTTGAGAGGAGCAGGAGGATCATGGGAAATTTGAGGCTTGCCCAGGTACAGAGTGAATTCTAGGTCACCCAAAGAAGTCTACACAGGCAGACCCTGTCTCAAACAATAGCAACAAACACCAGAAAGACAAACAATGAAACGCAGACGAAGGTGGTAGCTCAGGCCTATAATCACCGTACTCTCGCTGAGGCAGAGGGACTCCTGAGTTCAAAGTCAATTTCAGGATGGGGGCTTGCAAAGAAGAAAAAAAAGGGGGAATAAATACAAATTAGGGCTGACAGCCTGTTTAATCATTTTCTCCAGGTGATCTCTGTATGTTGGAAAACTCTGAGAAACAATACAATAAAACATACCTCAGAACTGGCCCCTCAGGAGTAAAGAAATAGAGTGTTTAGTCACTAACTGTCATTCTCACTGCTTGTTGACGTTACAAATTGGTGCTTCTACATAAAGAAATGTAATGGAATATAACTGCAGTTCAGAAATTCTAAAAAGAAAATATCTTAAAAGGTTTGTATGTGCCCCATGTTCATGCAATGCCTGAGAAAGTCAGAAGAGGGCATGAAACCCTCCCTGGAACCACAGCCACAGATGCCTGTTAGCTGGGAACTGGACTCAGTGCTCTTAACTGCTGACCCCTCCTTCTGCCTCTAAAGTAATTCTAAAGTTTAGAACTGCACACTGTTCTAGTTCATCATGGAAACTATGCTGACCTACACTGTTTCCTTTCTGTAGCATGTCCAGGCTATAAAAGCTATTCTCTCATTAGAAGTCATCCTAGTTATCAGACTACCGACATAGAGCAGTGCAGTGTTCTTAGTCAATAATTTAGTATATTGCTATAACTATTCTATTCTATTATTGCTACTTTCTATAAATTAGACTTTATTTTTGAGGCACTGAGGATCAAACTTAGGGTTTCATGAATGTTAACAAGTGCTCTACCATCAAGCCACATCACCTGCCCTATAACTCTATCACAGGTATGCAACTATAAATTAACTCTATCACAGGTATGCAACTATAAAAAACAGTATGTTCAGTGTTGGTACTATCTGCAGTGTTGGGCTTGGGGAAACGTTCAGACCACGTTCCCTGTAGATAAAGGAGAAAGGACACTGTGCGGATACCCTGAGATGGGAGATTCTCTGAGCTTCCCAAAGCTGTAATATGCCTTGGGATAGGCCGAGGTAGTATAGGTAGGCACAGATAGGTTTGCAATGAGTTTTTAGTTTTTGACAGATTCCCAAACTTGCAAGATTGTAGCACCTCTCTGATAGAGATAGAGAATTGTTATTGTTGTTTTTTTTTCTGTTTTGCTATGACAGGGTCTCATGTATCCCAGATTGGCAGATTCTTGATATAGCTGAGGTTGACCTTAAACTTTTGATTCTCCTGGTTACATTTCTCAAGTGCTGATTATAGGCAAGCAGGCATCACCAGGCCCTGTTTATGCAGTGTTGGGGACCAAACCCAGGGCTGTGAGACCGACAGCCAAGCCCCTGAACTCACCCTTCTTGGACGCGGGTTAAACGCAACCTGAGTGGGGTGCTCTGCCACACAGCCACACTCCTCAGGCCCGCCGATTTTCTTTTCTTATTCTTTGAGAGTTTTGTACAGTGATAACTCAACTTCTCTCCAACACTTCCTGGATCCATCCTCCTTCTTGTGGTGACATTTTGTTTATGGTCTAACAAATAAAGCTTGCCTGAAGACCAGAGTGCAAAGCTAGTCACACTAGTTAGTCACAGAGGCCAGGCAGTGCTGGTACACAACTTCAATCCCAGCACTCGGGAGACAGAGGCAGACAGACCTCTGTCTGTTAGTTCAAGGCCACTCTGAGCTACAAGAAATTGATCCAGTCTAAAGAGAAACAGAGCTCACACAAAAGGTGATCTTAGCACGTGGGATCCCACACCTTTAATCCCAGAAGCTGAGAGGAATACAAGGCAGGAGGACCAGGAGCTCAGTGTAGTCCGAGGTTTGGTGGAGACAGATGCAGTCTGGAAATACAATCTGAAGACAGGATTGTCCTTTCAGTCTGAGCACTGGTAGACATGAGAACTAAGGGCTGGTGATTTACTTCTCTGATCTTCAGATTCAACTTGAATATCTGTCTCTGGGTTTTTATTATTAAGACCAACTAGAATTCACACCACCTAACTTTGCGTCTTCCCCTGAACCCACATCAAGGCCAGTTTATGCTTCCAAATAATCTTGGATGTGTGGTCTTCCACTGAAGCATGAGTGATTCATGGGGCTACACTTTTAGGGAAAACTGACTTTCCTTTTCCCGGAAGCTACAATGCCAGTAGGTTCTTGACTAAGGGTGGGACTTTGTGCCAAAATCCCATCTCCATGCTGGGATTTTGCCTGGCTTGGGCCAACACAGGACTTTTGCATGCTACTGTAGGTTCATGTGCAGCTGCCTTGCTGTGTCTAGACGATGGCGACCCTGTGGCCATCCACTGCATCTGGCTCTTACGCTCTTTTTGCCTCCTCTTCTGAAATGATCCCTTTACCTTTGGAAGAGGAGGAGTGTTCCCTTTTGTTTTTAAAGTTATTTTAAAATTATGTGTACGTGTTTATGTATTGTATACTCATGAGTGCAGGTGCCCTTAGAGGCCACAAGAGAGTCTTGGACAGGGGGTTGTGAGTCACCTGATATTGGTGCTGGGATCCAAATTCAGGTCCTCTGGAAGAGCAGTATTCTCCCTTAACTACTGAATCTCCACTCTAACCCTCATCTATATTTGCTTGTTTTTTCTGGTTTAAAAAGTTAGGCTTTGCCGGGCGTTGGTGGCGCACGCCTTTAATCCCAGCACTTGGGAGGCAGAGGCAGGCGGATCTCTGTGAGTTCGAGGCCAGCCTGGTCTACAAGAGCTAGTTCCAGGACAGCCTCCAAAGCCACAGAGAAACCCTGTCTCGAAAAACCAAAAAAAAAAAAAAAAAAAAAGTTAGGTTT